TTAAGGGGAACATGAACGCCGCTCTCCTCGCCGTGCTCAAGAATCCCCCATCAACACTAAGAACCAGAACACCAAGGTACCTGTGTTTGTCACGCTGCTTCTTTGTGTGTGCAGCGTAACTGAAGTTCTTTGGCTTCATAGTAACCTGCACGCACACGTCCATTGATCATACTAGAACATTTTGTGTGGGAGCAGAGGCAGGGGAGGATTTAATGTCTCAGTCCCGTCTCTGAACGCTCGCAGACTTTAATGACCTCGTGGTGCACGGCCACAGCGTGCAAGGGCTTCAAGTGGTTAAAAAAAAAAAAAACAGGATATGACTGACTGACGTGACCTCACATGTTGCCGGGGAAACAAGAAGCTGATCTGAGTTCTTTGTGGTCAAACATTACAGACGATCAGACGTCATAAATCATCAAAGTTTATCTGACGTGACTTTGATTAGAAACAACTCGACAAACATTGGAATAAAGATCCTTTAAAAGTGACCTTTCAGTTCAAAGAAAAGTATTGTATGTTTTCCCGTCACATCTATGTTGACTTGTTGTTTACATTGTTTTATTTTCAAAATGATAATGGATCAATCTTTATTTGTTTAGTCCTAATTTATTACTGATGTAATATCAGGACATTTTACAATCCTTCAGGAAGTCTGCTCACATTACAAAGCAGTCCACATCAGAGCACACACACTCTCTCTCAAACAAACACACACACACACACACACTCAATTGTTACATGAAAAATTGTTCTCTCCCCCTCTGAAAATTTGAATGTTGTGAGTGGTTTTGGTAAAAGTACAGATGTGAAACAGTCCTAAAAACATTTTTCCCATCTGCCTTATAGAAATGTTTAGTTTTTGTTTGATTTGACCAAACTGAGTGATAAGAAGAGGGGAAACTTGAATCAGATCACATCAGAATGATCTTCTTCATGATCGTACAACAATCCACAAAGTAAAACTAAAATCTAAAATCCTTAAAATTGTCCCCGAGAGTTGGTCGGGTATCTACTTGATACCTGACCCTCTCTCAGTTCTCATTTAAACAACAGAAGATTAAAATGACTCATTATTTGTTTCAAAGTAAAGAGATGCAAATCTGGAGTTTACTAACTCCTGTGTGTGTGTGTGTGTGCGCAGGAGCGGGCGGAGCTGCTGGTGGTGCGGGTGCTGAGCAGCTTTAAGAGCGGTGACATTGAGAAGGCTGTTGGCTCTCTGGACAAAGCCGGAGTGGATCTGCTAATGAAGTACATCTACAGAGGCTTCGAGAAACCTTCTGACAACAGCAGCGCCGTGCTCCTGCAGTGGCATGAAAAGGTATGAGGTCAGAGTCACCAACAAAGATCAATGTCATACTGCAAGGAAGGCTGCTTTTATTCTCTATCAAAGCACATAGTCTGTCAGGTCACATGTTGAAAAGTATTGAGTGAGTTAAAGTCATTCCTGATGCTCTCTTCAAATCCATCCTCTTATATCTGATGGCCATGTTTTTCTCTGTATGTGATGGTGAACTTAGCCAGTGGTTAGTGTCATAACCCGGCCCGTGTGCCATGACCAAAGAAGGCAGGGAGTTTCCAAAATGTACTTTTTTTTACAAGAATCAGAGTAAACAGGGCGGCTGTGGGTCAGTGGTAGAGTCAGTCGCCTCTGGAAGGTGGGGGTTCGATCCCCAGATCCTGCAGCAACATGTCCGATGTGTCCTTGTGCAAAACACTTAACCCCAATTTACCCCCGCTGCTTTGTCGGCAGTGTATGAATGGATGAGTTAATACTGATGGACTCTTTACACAGCAGCCTCTACCATCAGTGTGTGAATGGATGAGTTAATACTGATGGACTCTTTACACAGCAGCCTCTACCATCAGTGTGTGAATGTGTATGAATGGATGAGTTAATACTGATGGACTCTTTACACAGCAGCCTCTACCATCAGTGTGTGAATGTGTATGAATGGATGAGTTAATACTGATGGACTCTTTACACAGCAGCCTCTACCATCAGTGTGTGAATGGATGAGTTAATACTGATGGACTCTTTACACAGCGGCCTCTACCATCAGTGTGTGAATGTGTAGGTGTGACCTGGTAGCATACAGAGGTGTAAAGAGTACTAATATATTCTACTCAAGTAAAAGTACTGTTACTTTGATAAAATTTTACTTAGGTACAAGTAAAAGTACCAGTTTAAAAATGTACTCAAAGTAAAAGTAAAAAGTAACTCATTTAAAATGTACTTTCAGTAAAAGTTACTTAGTTACTTTTTTTTAACAACGCATCTCTCGTGTGTTGTAAAAAAAGGACGAGAGGATATTAATCTCAAAGTTTTTTTTTAATTAAAGGCCAATCTTTACAAAGATTTATCTTTTCAGATAAACATTTTCTTTTTTACCCCATTGATAAAAACAAAATATACATAATGATGAAGAAATAATCAAGGATTATATGTTCAAATAATCAGCTGTTTTATGAAGGGAAATGTTTAAAGGCTTTATGTGATTTTTTGATCCAGCAGATGTCGCCCTTGAGCACCAGCATGAAACCAAAACAACTCGCGCTGCATTGTTGTGTTAGCATGCTAATGCTAGCGATCTTTATTATGCTCGTATCTTCACACTGCATGTAAATTTACCTGAAATGAGCGTGATCTAGAAACACAGTTAAGCAGTGAGTACAGTATGTTATTCTTCTTTTCTCTAGTCCCTCAATTAAACAACTTTTATACAAGAGGGGAGGAGTCAGCCGGCCGTCCTGGCGATGTAAACAAAGTGAAGATAGGACTCTGAAAACTCTGAAAACATCACAGACAGTGGGACTCGGGTGTTACACCCATTGTAGACAGTCAAAGAACATTGTGTTTTTGCTGAGTTATTCTGAAGTGTTTGAATCCACATTTTCTGCAAACTCTCTCTCTCTGTGTGTGTGTGTGTGTGTGTGTGTGTGTGTGTGTGTGTGTGTGTGTGTGTGTGTGTGTGTGTGTGTGTGTGTGTGTGTGTGTGTGTGTGTGTGTGTGTGTGTGTGTGTGTGTGTGTGTGTGTGTGTGTGTGTGTGTGTGTGTGTGTGTGTGTGTGTGTGTGTGTGTGTGTGTGTGTGTGTGTGTGTTGTGTGTGTGTGTGTGTGTGTGTGTGTGTGTGTGTGTGTGTGTGTGTGGTGTGTGTTGTGTGTGTGTGTGTGTGTGTGTGTGTGTGTTGTGTGTGTGTGTGTGTGTGTGTGTGTGTTGTGTGTGTGTGTGTGTGTGTGTGTGTGTGTGTGTGTGTGTGTGTGTGTGTGTGTGTGTGTCCCTCCCTCCTCAGGCTCTTGCAGTGGGAGGAGTGGGATCTATAGTCCGAGTCCTGACTGCCAGGAAGACTGTGTGATGGTATCAAAGTCCACCTGGTACCAGATGTTAGACCGACACTCGATCATGGGAGCTGAGCGCAAGGACTGTTCTTCTTCTTCTGTTTTTTTATTTTTATACTGAAGCTAAGTGTCTTTCCTCTTTTTATTTTTGCTCTCACACACCAAGCTGTGGGATTTACAGTAAAGGACCTGGCAGTCAGGGAGGGAGGTGCTGGCACCTCACACTGACTCTGTCTGCCAGCCTCGCAGAGAGGGCAGACACATTTCAGACGCTTCACGCCTTCACAACTTTCTCTCCAGAGCAGCTGTGACACCTCTGCTGGCTCCTGTAACACCTCCTCATCCTCAGAAGCCTCTGAGGGGTCCAGGTTTTAGGATATGGAAAAGCCGACTTCCAGATGGAGGCTGCATGCTGGGATTGGAGTTGTGTTTTCCTGATCATTCCTTCTTTGAGACCATCTTTATCGTCTTTGTTTTCTACTTGCACCATGTTATGTGGGGCCTGCTTCTTTTTGTTTTTTATATCAAAAAAATAAAGTGCTGTATCTGAAAATGGACGGCTGCCTCCCATGTGTGTCACTATGTTACTTTAAGAAGACATCGCTCATAAGAGATGGTTTTGTTAAACCTTGGACCCCCACAGGGTCAGATTGATGTTTGAAGACATAGAGAGAGGATCTCTACAGCCTTTATCCCCCTCACCTCAAAACCACCAGACTCCATGAAGAAGTCATTTTACCTCTCACAATGACACTTATTAGAGTCACTGCTGCCTCAGTCACTTTGTGGATAAGTTTAACAAATAGTGTCCGACCAAACCATAGCTTTCAAACATCTCAAGACAGCACAAACGCCCTCTTATCAAAGCAGCAACTCCTGCGTTATGCAGGTTAGAATGACTGCTTGTCACTGAAATGTGACAGCTGGGGTGCAATTCTACTTGAGAACTTTAATTTAGCTTTGAATCGTTCCGCTCCTGTGTCTAAGGTTTATTTGAAGGCGCATTATGTAACTCTGACCCCTAGTGTTTAAAATGGGTACTGCAGTCTAAATTCTAAACATCATAGAGAGCTGTTTCCCCTGCCCCCTCCTCTCTAGAGTGCATGCTCACTCAGGTCACCATGTGGTGGATACTGAAGCTTCAGTGTTTATCCAGCTCTGCATGGGTCTGTAAACCTTTCTGTGTTCTAACCTCTCTCCATTTTTCAAAAGCATCTCCAATATTGATCCTAGTTTGAGCACGTTTCTGCTCGTGGAGCTTATTAGAAACATGCAGAGGCTTTTTAGGTCGGGTACAATCACTTCTATCTGAACCACTTCTCTTGACCGCTTCCATCACTGCAACACCTGTTGGTTTGACCTGATAACTGCTCTCATATCTGGCAAACAGAGGGGCGTCCAAAACGGCCGTGTGGGGGGGTGTCTTAAAACCGCCTACCTTCTCTGGTCCAAACAAATCCAGAGCATTCAGGAGCAGAATCTAAAGTTAGAAGGAGGACATACTGGCTGCTGCATTGTTGTCAGAGAAGCCAGCACTTCAACATAGCATGTTTCCTTTATGATCATATAGTAAGATCACTTTATCATTTCACTCTCTACACATCTTACTGATTGGACCTTTAAGGGTTTTCATTTTGCCACACATAAAGGCCAGTAAAAAAACATCCTGTTGAAACATACACCTGTTTAATGGATATTTGTCCAGCTGGGGTTCTCGTGGACACATCAGTACCGAATCAGATGCAAGAAGAAAAAAAAGATAAGGCAGTAAAACACAACTATCACAGTTATGGTACAAACACTTCCAGACCCCTCAATCAGCTACATGGAGACTGAAACAAAGTCATCAAATTGTACAGAGATCTGTCCATGCGTGTGTTTCACATGGAGACATTTGGGTCTCAGGTCTTTACATCAATGAGAGAATATTTCTGTGACAGGAACCTTAACCAGGAAGCAGGTTTGTGGAGAACTTTAAACAATTTAACTCTGATACTGCAAAAAAAAGGGCTCCCCTCACACATTCCTTCCCCTCTGTGTTACAAAAGACATTTATAAAAGGACGAGCAGCCACACATATCAGAGGACAGTTTGTTCCTACAGGCGACAGATCAACACAACAGCTCAGTCTGCTGCCCTAAACCTGGACCGTGTGATCCGGGCTGATGCTGGTGCAGCTCAGGGGTCGTTCTGTTGCTTTAACACAGATTCATTCACTGAGTTTAACAGACTGCAGCGTCCACACCGTCACTGTTCTGAGTTTTATTGGAAAGACTACACAGAGGTCAAAACAGAACCGAAGCTTAGGAAACACTTCAACATTTGGAAAAGAAAAACAACTATTTGTCTGCTTCGATCTCCGTGTGAGCGTGTGTTCCCAGTGTGATGACACGCAGCACAAACTGTCCTGCTGGAGCCATGGAAACCGAAAATGAAGCAGCCAAATTGTGAGCCTCAATGAGAGTGTCTGAAATCATTTTAATATCTCACTTAAAAAATATCCAGATAAAGATTTTTACGTTGTTTAACTCCTAAAGCTTTTCCGTCGTGTCCACCTGTCGTTTTTTGGGGGGGTTTTCAAAGAGCAGAGAGCGTTTGCAGCAGCAGATTGTTGTCATGGCGACACGACGAACATGCAGCGCTTTTTTTCTCAGCGCACTAAACGCTTCATGCAAGCGCTTCCACATGCACAGCCAGCACTTTTCTGCCCCCGGAAAAAAAAAAACGGCATGTGGACACGTTGGCCTAATAAACTGATCACCATAAAGACCAATGTCGTTAATAATGAATAACAAATGTTGATTCCATAAGGATAAATGGCTTTAAGGTGAAAAGACGTTTCATCTATTCCTGTTTCATTCTGAAGCTTCACTTTTAACTCGTTGCCTTTAGACTTTTACATAAATATGAATGTTTATTGGCCTTAAAGCCTTAAAGAGTCTATCACTCAGATTCTCCATCTTTACATCGCGTGAACAAAGCAGGTCGGATCAGTGACTTAAAACCAAAGAATAAGAGCGGGGTGATACAGATATCATTTCATGGCTTAGAGCCGTAAATAAACAACTTCCCTGAGCTAGTGTAGGTCATACTAAACAAAGATTAATGATGTTTTAATGAATATTCTGTTGTTGTTTAACTAGCTGTTAAATCAGCATGGCCTTTCTGGGCTTCCATACGTGTCACCCTCATGAGAAGCACAGCAGACATAAACATCGTCCACTTCATCATCGTGATTCAAGTCAGACGTGTCTTAGAGCAGGTCACAAAGATTTGAACCTTTTCTCTCCCCGTGTATAGAGGGGCAATCGCTGCAGACAAATAGTGAAACACTTGTTTTTTTTGGTTTTTTTTTACTTGTAGAGGTCAGACTGTGAATGGAGCGAGCGGTAGCAGCTGGTGGTGAGTGTGAGCGAGCTGCTGTACTGATCTGCTACCTTCTACTGAGAAAAAAGATAGAAAGAGACACAGAAAGATACAGAGAATATAAAACAACCGTTTTCTTTTTACAAGAGTCTTTTGGAGGGTCTCAGCGACCTCTCCACTCCTTCTCACTCACACACACACACACAGACAGACGCACACACACTCCTGTCCTCTGTTTGTGTGTGCAGCTGTAACCGAGTCCATGTGTGTACTTCCTGTTAATGTGTGTGCATGTGTGTGTGTGTGTGGGTGTGTGTGTGTGTGTGTGTGTGTATTTGTTTGTATAGGTCTACTTGTGTTCTTTAGTGGGAGCAAAATAGAGCTCCATGGGTTTGTTGACCTTCCAATACTTCTCGCTGACCAGCTCCAGGGAGAAGGAACCGTTCAGAACCTGCAGACAGAAACAAACAGCTTTAGTGATGAGAAGGACAAACACACCTGTAGGTGATGTCGAGTCTTGGTTTTATGCTGATTATCAGTTGTGATCTAAATTGCCTATTATTGCGGCTTATAGCACTACTACCAGTGTGAGGAGCAAACCAGTTGTTTGTTGATTATCGCTGTTTGTTCCTCATCAGGGTGCGATTGCTGTGTTCACATCAGTGTTAATCTTCACACCATTTTCTAATTTAGTCATAGTCTCCTGATGAAAATGTCTTTTATATTTAGTCAGATATTAGTCATTTGTTATTGATTTAATTTAGTCAATTATTCACTGACTAAAATTACACATCATTTTAGTTTTAGAAAATAGAAGATATGTTCGTCAACAAAATCAGACTCAAGCTTTTATTTTGATTATCAGAAGCTCCAGGGGGCGGGGCTTCACGGACCTGCAGGCAACACACACACACCTTTGATGAAGTCTGCTATGGTTTACAATGATTTTAGAACAGCTGAGGGGGGTACGTGATAATCCTCACTTGTAATGTAGTTTTTGTTTCGTCACATTTTCGTCAATTAGACGATGAAGTAATATTATTTATCAAATCATCAAATAGCGGAGTTTCATCTCGTCATCGTCATAGTTGACTAATTTAGAAAGACCTTGGTTAACGAATATTTTCGTCATTTATTTCATTGAGATTAACACTGGTCCAAACATACAGAGGCAGAGGGGGAAATGCCCCGTGGTTATTGATTAATGTCTTCAAAGGCTCTAGGTGTGAGTACAGTACTGTGTTTGGTGTTCAGATAATCCCTGTGTGTGTGTACTCACAGTGAACTGGTTTCCAGCAGTAGGTATGTAGATGGTGTACTGTTTCTCTGAAGCCGCCTCCACATTGACAGGACTGGCCTCTGCATTTCTCCTCAGTTCTTCCAGAGCCAGTCTCACAGCCAGGTATTTTGACAGGTGATCCACTGTGGCGTTACCTGATGTCTTGATGTACCGAGGAACAAACTCCACACTGAACCAAAAACACAAAACACACACATTCAACACAACTTGTTGGAAATGACCAGCTGCTTCTGTCGTCTATCACATCCTGTCAATCAATCTTTATTTGTATAGCGCCAATTCATGACAAATGTCTAGCTCACCACACGACCATAACACCAGAAACAGCTGCGAGTGTGTGCGTGTGTGAGAGTGTGTGTGTCTACCTGTTGTGACCGTCGTCCTTCTCCATCAGCGTTGGATGTGGCCTGAACACTAACTCTATCTCGCTGGCACCGCCATCGATGACAGAGTCCCCGCCCCCGTTCTCAGCAGCGTTGTCCATGTCCAGGCCGCTGTCATCGCTCGTCTTGGTGCGCTTAATGCTCGGACCCGCTTCCTGCAGGTACACAATAAAGACATTTTTGATGTTTTATTTCACTAACTTTGAGCTGAAGAGGTTTTGTGGCTTCTCAGAAAATAAAACGTGTCCCGTTGTGTTTGCAGACACTTCCTCAGTTGTACCTGGTTGCTGTGGACTGAGGCGTTGCTACAGTGGGAGGAGTCTCCGTTGTCCTCTGCTCCGCTGCCATTCTCCACCGTGTGTCTCTTACCGCGCTGCAGTCTGACAAACGCACATGATATTATTGAAGCAGATGTACGTTTATGTATTTTTGGTGTGTGTGTGTGTGTGTGTGTGTGTGTGTGTGTGTGTGTGTGTGTGTGTGTGTGTGTGTGTGTGTGTGTGTGTGTGTGTGTGTGTGTGTGTGTGTGTGTGTGTGTGTGTGTGTGTGTGTGTGTGTGTGTTAACCTGGTCATGGCCTGGATCTTCAGCCCCTCCTCTATGCTGTGGGACAGGGCCTGCTGGTTGTTGTGTTTGCTGATACGCGCCAACACTCTCTCCTGATGGGCTTCGTACTCGTCGCGGCTCGGGTAAATTTTGCCTGAAATGAGACGAGTGAATAGAGTGTTGTACTGTTTGTGCTAAAATGTGTGCGCTTAAACCTTCATGTGTGACACTTACTGATCAGAGCATCAAAGTTTGGGTCTGGACGCAGTGACCTCTTGGACACCAGCTTCTTACGACAGGTGGGACACTCTTTATTTCTGCAGAGACATTTCCATCAGTAATCCGAAACAACAAATTCAAACAAACAGTTCCAATGCAACACTTTGGGAAACTTTCAAACAGATCGTCAGACCAAAACAAATACTCTCTTCAGACACGCCTCCTTCATCCCTCAGCTCCACCCTCCTGCCTCCACACGTCCCCCACCCCGTTCCACCCACCCTGTTTTTACTTTCAGGTTTCTGAGGCTGTGAGAGCAGCAGACGAGAAAACAAGATTCTGCAATCAATTCTCAAGTAACGACATGCATCTCAAAGTCAATTGGGGTTGTCGTTTGTTTGTCTCTTTAGGGCCTCAGAAAGACTCCTTCCGTCGTACTCTTGCAATTACATTCTGTCATTCTGCCGCTTCAATCAGCGTCCTTAAGTAGACCCGAATGGAGGCAGAGCAGGCAATGAGAGAGCAGGGAGAGGGCAGCTTAAATAGAGCACATGTCGAGTGTGAAATCAGTGCAGCTTTTGGTTGTTCCTGTTTTTGTTCAGTTTGTTTTGGAGATTGCAGATCTGTAAACATGCGAGTTAAAAAATGTAAATAATGTTTTCTGAACAAACATAATGTAGCAGAATGTACACCCATGTATTCCTGACTGCAACTAAACCTCTGGTTATAAGCAGGTGACACTCATCCTTCCCTCAGAGGTCACAGACAATCCTTCCACTCACTTCACCACATCATCAGTTGTTCAAATCATTGAGTCACATCACAGTGACAGAAAGAGAAACTCACCCGGATCTCAAAGCTGTGATGATACAATCAGCGCAGAAGCGGTGCAGACATTCTTTGGTGGTCATTGTGTTCTTCAACATGTCTAGACAGATCGGACACATGAGTTCGCTGTGCAGAGACCTGGGAGACACGGCGATCTCCAGTCCATCTGTGATCGCCTCCTGTGCCAAAACACATAAACATAAAGGTTACCACACACAGGATCACCTCCACCTGCGGATATCATACTGGAAATGATTCAGGAGCCGAGTGGAGCTCCAGATGTTTAGAACCGGGGGGGGGGGGAGGTTGTGATGTTGTCAAATCATGTAAATCCTTGCACATTTTTCACAACCAACTCACAGTCTGACACAGCTGATGTGTAATGTGTGAGAACAGAAAATAAAGGGGAGTGTTGTGGTACCTGTGGTGTTCTCTGCAGCTCGTACAGACTCAGCTCCCAGGTCTTACTGAGCGGCTGAACCCCATTGGTCTGAACCGTCTGAGTCATCACTGCAACACTGAAACACAAAGAGAGAAAACGTCCATGATGTCATAGTGACCTCCTGCAGTGCATGTTTTGGTTGCAATTAAAAACAGGGACACATCACCTTGAACACCTTAGTTTCTACCTTACACTGTTCCTCTCATTCATACTCGTGCAGAAATGGTGGCAGAGCTCAAGTGCTCAGCTATCAGCAGCAAACTGAGGTTAATGTCCTCCTAAAGAGAACTCTAAGGTCCTTATCAAACTGCATGCCAAAATCTGTTTCTTTGGGCATTTCCATACGATGTCCAGATTCATTTTCCAAAGTTTGGAGAGCAGATAAGGATCAGAGCAGAATGTAAGGTTGGTTAAAGATGTAAATCCATCAGTGACTTAAGTTGTGACGTCCAAATTAGATTCCAAAGTGAGTTTTTATGATGTGAATCTTTGGGTGTCTCAAGATTTGATTCGATTCTTGGGGTCACGATTCGAATCAGAATCTATTGTCGAAAGGATGTTGAAAAGGATTCTGGATCCATGATTCAAAGTCTATTTTTGAATGAGTACATACTTCGACTCCAGTCATCTTTTAGACTGGCTGAACTTCTTGCTGCTCTATTTGACGTTCTACTGAGTTAAAGAACTAGCTTTAGCACTTAGCAGGGAGTGACTGATTAGTTATGAATCTTTTTAAAATCTCAAAAGATAAGAATCTGAATTTGTAAAAGTCTTATTTTTTTCCACCCCTAGGTATCAAATCTACAAAACCAGACTGAAGACTGAAGTGAATCAGAACAGTCTCCACAAATTCTTCAATTCATCAACTACCAACTCACACTTCTGACTTAAGACATTTAAACCGCTTTGTTAATTTTTGTTTAAACGATTTGACCAATAGTTCAGTTGCATGGGAACACCCTGCCTAATCGGTCCTAGGCTTAAATAACACGATGTAGACCCTTTTTTGTATTGTTTTCTTCTAGATAAAAATGACCTGACTCATGAATTCCTTCTGAAAATAAATCAGTTTGCATTAAAATGATCTGCGCTTGTATTCCGGAATAACAGAAAGAGCAGCACAGACGTTGATAGTCGGCCAAAAGTCCCACAGATTTGTGTGCTTGCTTTCTATAAACAGACCTACTACAGCTGTGTCTTTCAGGAAACAGAATTTAAAACACCACGTCAGCTGCCTGGTACTGATAAATATTTACCATAAGACCAGATTCATTTTACAGTTCGCATCAATTTGAAAATCAATTTTCCTGAAAGTAAACGTGCAAAGAAGGAAACTTGGAAAATGTTGAATAAAAATCTTCTCTTATTTATAAGAGTTAAAGATATATCATGTTTGTGAAATGACTCAGAATCATTAGGATTTTTTTTTTTTACATTTTATTTGCTTTAAACAGAAGTGCCATCATGATGATGTGAGCTGAGCTGAGGTAGCATCTCTGCCTCACTGGTGTATTTTACTTTATTAATACAATTGTTATGCAAACCAGCATTGTGCGTGACCCCACCCACCCCTCACACAGCCTCTTCAGCCTCCTGCCATCGGGGAGACGGTACCGCAGCCTGCGGGCCGGCTCCACCAGACTGGGAAACAGCTTCTTCCACCAAGCTGTCAGGAAGCTTAACTCTCTCCCCTCTCTTCCTTCCCTCCCCTCTGCCCCCACGAACACTGGATGTTGAAACCCCCTCCCGTTTGCCACCAAGAACTCTGGACTAATAACTCTGAAGCTAACTATTCAAAAGTACACTCAGTTTACTGCACATTGCACATATTGCACAAGTTTACTTTAAATTGTATTTTATTTTATTTACCATTTTGTACCTTTTGCACAATTTAGAATTTATTGCTGTAAATATTATTTATCTTATTTTACCTTATTTTGGTTGTATTGCACCGCGGGACGGAGACAAATGAAATTTCGATTCCACTGTATGTCTGGCATATTTTGAAATTGACAATAAAGTTGACTTTGACTTGACTTTGACAAAGTCGATATGCACCTGGCCATTGTTTGATAACACGTTTATTTATTGTGCAGCCCTGGGCCGATAAATCGAGTAAGAGTTAGAGAAATACATTTTCAAAATATACAAATATCTCAATGAAGAACAACGAATGGTCACATAAGGGGAGTTGTTGGTAGAGATGCACAGATCGGGGAAATCAGAGCAGATACCAATAACAATTTATCCGTTTGTCAATTCCAATACCGATTTGTTTTATGACAATGATGACGTTTTATCTCATTTTTGACCATAAAAAAAGTCAGAGATGGTTCAACAGGTGACTTCATCTGCCCAATAACAAACCCTTATTGGCTGAATCAGTATTTAGGTGCACTAGATGTCAGCATTTAATTGATTTGGCACAACAAATAAACAATTTGCTAACCGGTGCATCCCCACTTATTTGACAATGCCACCTTCAGTTGCATAGCTTGAATTCATGACCAAAATATCCACCAGAGGAAGCCCAGACTGGGTTCTTCTTGTGCTGCATCTCTAGGAGCCTTACAGCAAAACCAAGAAAATAAAAAGGCGAAAAACCGACAGTTGTGAGGCCATACAGCTGTTATGCACAGAAATGCCTCCCTTCCTAAAAGTGGATGCATGGTATGATAGATACATACATGTTTTTCTGGGGGGAAGATCTGTGATGACAATGAAGTTATTTAATAAACGTTATTTAAGGATGGATGCAATTTTCTGAAGGGATGGATTTCTCGGCATAACACCGCCACATACTGTAATGTGACAGAGGACAGGTGGACGTGGGGGAGGTCCATGTTAAACACACCAACATATAGACCATGTCGGGGCAAGCTAATCTCAACACAAACGCTTCCAAATATAAACATGATAAATAAATTAACCACTGAGATATTTAGCCTGAGCTGTCTTCTTTATATTTATATGTCTTCTTTATCATTTCAAGCTAATAAACAAAACCCAATGATGTGCTAACAAAAAGGTAACTTAAACAGTTTGAATATATGTGGCAGCTCATACGTATATGATGTTATCTGCACTGTAACTCATTATTCAGTCATTTTTATTCAAACAAACTAACCTATATTACATGTGCAGATTACATGTGAAATATATGTGAGGCTAGGCTAATGCTAGCTAGCTTCCTCGTATCGCTAACCTTAAAGGGTAAATTTTCTCCAGACATTGCAAATAGGAAGCCGACCAGAGACGGAGAATGACAGGGAGCACCTTAGTGCCCATTTAAATACTCTAACTAAATGGCTATGTTTTTAAATTAGCGGGTGAGACGTGAGGGGAATTTGTCGCCTCACAGAAAGAAAAACAACAACAGAGCAGGAGCCTCCGCACTGGCTCTCCCGAGCTAAGCTAACCGGCTTTAACCCGTTATTCTGCCACTTTGACACAGCTGTAAACTCAGCATGATAGCAGTCAGTGTACACATTCACACGTAAGGTTAAGTTCTTCCTAGCTTGCCAAAAAAATGATCTAATGTGTACTTACATTTTTAATTGGGAGAAGGAGCCGTTCTAGCTAGCGCGTTTAGGTGAAGGCAATATGGCGGCTGCAGAAGGTGCAATGCACGCTGGGAAATGTAGGCTCATCGCATGAGTAGTCGGGAATCAAACCTTATCAAAGAAAAATAAAGCTTTATCATTGATGATAATAAGCAAACAAGGGGCAGCCAGTCTTTGTACACTTCTAACAATCCGCCATTAAAACGCCTTTACGAAATTAAGCTTGTTTTTTTAATTTATTATTAAAGGTGCACTATGTAGATTTGGTAAAGAAATTTTGGAGAAGGGAAACAATTATATGTTATATTTTCTGAACTGAATATACAAACTTTATTCAAAGGAAAACACAAGTCCCTGGAAAACTGTTTGGAGCGAACAGTGTCCCCTGAGGACAGTTTGAATAAAGAGTTATGAACATATAGAATCTGTACATTTCTCCAACTTTCACTTTTCTCTACCAAACTGCTATAGTGCACCTTTAATATTCAAACGTTATTCAAGTGGATGCTTCACACAAGCTCGTTGAGTTTTCTGCCTCTTCCTGCACTGAATATTGTTGATTTTGTTATTTGTGTAAATGTATTTTTACTGTGTAACTGAATAAACATTAAAAACAATACATCTTACTTACAGACTGTGAACTTCCTTCACTATGACGGGATGTTTAAAAGGAGTCCACTTAAAGTGAATAAAGCTGTGAAATAACAAGAATTTTACAATAGAAATTTATTTACAAAAATTTTAATATTGTATCGGTTTATTTCTGTCCATAGTTATTCATGTAAAGACACATCCACATTTCAGTGTGAAGCTGGGTCCCGAGGTCCTAATGGAGCAGACCATGAACCATCATTTGACCAGTGTGTGTGTGCACATGCGTTTGCTGAACGCTGCTCATTTCTTTATTGATTGATGTCGTTTCTGATTGTTAAACTTAATATGATGCTGTCTTGGTAAGGTCTCTCTGGTAAAAGATATTTAATCTCAGTGGGAATATTCAGGTAAAATAAAGGATGAAGACACTGAGACATATGAGACATACAGTCGTGATTCTTGTGTTGGTGGTCGGGGCCCTTTGGTCAAACTTTCATTGGGGGTCTCTCCAACCATATTTCCTATTTTCCACTTTCTTTCTTTTTTACTCCCTGACTCATCATTTCCCTTCAAGCTGAGCAGGGCACAGACAGAATGTGCTGATAGATGAGGATTCCTACTATCAAAGTCAAATGTGCACGTTATGAGCCCCTGCTGTGGTTTGAAGTTTGTCTGGCCTGTCGACAAGCAGAACCTGTGACAGAGTAAAGACATCTTTACATGCAGACAGCTATACTCCTCCCATTTAAAGAAAGATATGTGGAAGAATAGCTTTTAGACAGAGTTTACAATGGGGCATGATGACTGTAAACATGGCGAATTACAGAGACTACAATGCAGGGCCGGCTTAATGCATCTCAACATGTGTTTAACCACCAGGCCTAATTTACTAAAGTAAAATATCTGGAGGTTTTTTCTCTCTAAAACTAATAAAAAAACAACCTAAAATATAATATTTTCTCACCAAAAGTAACCGACCTTTTAAATCACTGACCTCTTTTTTTCTGTCATGAGGAAGGTAAATTGTTTCTTCTGCACGCTGACAGGGAATTATCACTTTGAATTAGTTTTTCCACACCTCTTACCTGTGATGTAATGTGGGGGAGTAAGGAATGGTGATGTATGGCAGTGTCAAAGGATTATGTTTGCCTTGTGATAATATTGATCACACATTTTTCAAAGTTATAGCTAAAAAAGGCTCTAACATGAAGACATGTTCAGACTGTTTGAGGGGGGGCTGAGATGAATGTAGGAGGGCTGAAGTTTTGAAAAGGTCTAAAATCGCCTCCTATGGCTTACATGTTGAAAAACAAATCAAAAAAAAGGTTTGAATCTAGATTTGAAAAAAGCATAATTTATAAACTCTGCCCCTGAACATCTTACACATTCATGTACACTTCAGCTGTTTCTTTACACTTTAGGAGATGAAAGCTGACTGAATAAACATTTATTTTACCTATCTCTCTCTCCCCTCTCTCTCTGTCTCTCTCGCTCTCCCCTCCTTCTCCCTCTCTCTCCCCCTCTCTCTCTGTCTCTCGCTCTCCTCTCTCCCCCTCCTTCTCCCCCTCTCGCTCTCCTCTCCCCCCTCCTTCTCCCTCTCTCTCTGTCTCTCTCTCTCCTCTCTCCCCTCCTTCTCCCTCTCTCTCTGTCTCTCTCTCTCGCTCTCCTCTCTCCTCCTCCTTCTCCCTCTCTCCCCCTCCTTCTCCCTCTCTCTCCCACTCTCTCTCTGTCTCTCTCTCTCTCTCTCCTCTCTCCCCCCTCCTTCTCCCTCTCTCTCCTCTCTCTCTCTGTCTCTCTCTCTCTACTTGTAAAAACTGGAAGCCTGTTTGTAAACTTGCTCAGTGTAAAACATGTGTAACTGAAACCAACACATTGACGATCAATCCTTAAAACAAAGGAGTCAAGCGGAAACGTCTCGTGAGGAGTCAACCCAAAATGGGGATGTCTCGTGCGGTGTGCGTGCGCACAGTCGTGTGTGAGCGCGAGACAGAGCAGAAGGCGTAGCCACATCAGAAGGGGGTCGAAGTGGGGGGGGGGAGCGGAGGTAAGGGGAAGGGAAGTGTTGTCGATCCGTGACATGAATGAACCATGTTCGGTAACGGAGGCTTCGCTCTCCCGGTGTGCTCCTTCCTCCTGCTGCACCTCCCGGTCCTCCCGCTCAACAACAACAACTGGCACGGCAAGGTAAACAGCTCTCCGTTTCTTCACCTCTTTTTTGCTGTTTGTCCTTTTTCAAACTGGTGGGGGGGGGGGGGGGAGAAAAGTTACGGAGTTTGCTGAGAAGTCTGTCACAGTGCTTATACGGTCATGCACGACCCCCCCTCTTTATTCCACCTTGAATTAACTTTTAGAATGAACCCAGATAGTCTCTGAGTAACATGTCAGTGTGCAGAGAAACACTGAACCACGGTGTGATTGTGATAGTGTATGTAAGGCAAGCTGTCTGTTACCAAATGCGACAATGACACTGTACCCCCCCCCCCCCCCCCCGAGAAAACTTTGTTGAGTTAACGGGATGCTTTACTGCTGCGTCAGACACTTTGAATAAGACTGTTATGATCTGTGTCCACTGTGTCCACCTTTATTAACCAGCCAGTATGAGATCACACTCAGGCTCAACAAGAGTGTTTAGTGTTTTCTGCTCAGCTGAAAGATGAGACCATATCAGATAACCTGCCTATTTGCATTAATAAGACTTTTGTATGGTGGCTGGGAAGTGCCAAACAAACCCACAAAGTCTGAAACACTTTTACAAAGCTTGAGACAAATTTACATTTTAGAAAAAAAGATGCAAAACACTTTACCCTACGCTAAAACAAATGTACAAATGACAGAATCTTAGAGGAAAGGGAAAGTAGAAATGCCATAATATACTCTGAAGTGATTGATTGAGCAGTCAAATTGTTTGTTTTGGCCAAGTTTTGGTCAACCTTAGATGTTGAAAAATTAAGCCAATGTGGAAGTGCAACACCCTGCAGTTTGTAAGTGTCCACTAGAGGCTGGCTGCAGAAGCACAAGACGTCACATACACACCCATTCTAAAAAGCCTGTTTTTACAGCAGAGATTAACATGTTTACAGCCTGGTTAAAAAAAAATCAAATAGGTCTGGTTAGTTATTGTCCTCTTGGGCACACACTGTGCGGGAGTGATTTATTTTACAATGCATCAGTTTTAATTTTATGAATGATGTGTTATTCCATAGTTAACTTATGTCAAGGTGTTTAAAACCCGCCTCAGCTCCAGCTCTCAGCTTGTCGTTAGGTTGACTGAAAGTTAGACTGAGACAGCATTTCCAGCACGGCGACTGAAGCCGATGAGCCTCCTGATGGGTGTCAATATTCAGGCTTTGTCCATTAAAATACAGTCTATGGTTTGGAGGAAAGAAAAACCATTGAGTATAAGGTTAATGAATATTGTTTTGAACGTTTTGTGTAACCGAACTGAGACAGTTAACGCAGTCTGTTTTCAAAAAGGCAACAACATACTACTATCCAACGCAGTAATTCTACAATTCACTTAGCAGACGCTTTTATCCAAGCAGACGCTTGTGGTACTTTCCCTTTCTGCTAAGATTCTGTCGTTGGAATAGTCGGTAAAAGACCCCCTGTTGAGATGATGAAAAGAAGCAGGGTTTGTGTTTGATCAGCAGCATGCTCTGTCTCTATCAAATGAACAAGTGAACACATTTTATGTATTGACTCTAGAAAACACTATAACCATCTTCAATCGACATGTTCAACGTAAAAGTTTGTGAAAGTGTTTCATTTTGCTTTAACCCTTTAATAGCAGCGGTGTAGTGAACATATTGGGCTGTTAGTAGAATAAACCAACATGATGAGGAGGTTTATCTTAACCCATTAGCTCTTCTTATCCTGCTTATTACATGTGTACCCATTCACTAAACGCTGTCATTGATGGTAAAGTGAGCTAAGCTGAACAGTGTGAATGATAGCATTGAGGTTTTCTGTCAGTCTGTCTGCGTTTTCCTCTTTGAATACCCAGCGCTGATTATCGCTGTTTTCTTCATTCATTAGAGTCGTTAAGTAATATGTAATCAATTCTTGTGCAAAAGTTTGCTCAGACTGTCTGCAACAAAGTAGGTGAACTGCTGCATTACTGAAGACTGTCGGTCTTTTTTAAGGGGGGAAAGAGCCTTTGGGTGCAGCTGGAAAACACCATCTGCACCCAAAGGCTCTTTCCCCCCTTAAAAAAGACCCTGTTTGGTTTCCAGACCCTGTTTGGTTTCCAGACCCTGTTTGGTTTCTAAGCCCTGTTTGATTTCCAGACCTGTTTGGTTTCCAGACCCTGTCTGGTTTCCAGACCCTGTCTGGTTTCCAGACCCTGTTTGATTTCCAGACCCTGTTTGGTTTCCAAACCCTGTTTGGTTTCTAAGCCCTGTCTGGTTTCCAGACCCTGTTTGGTTTCTAAGCCCTGTCTGGTTTCCAGACCCTGTTTGGTTTCTAAGCCCTGTTTGGTTTCCAGACCTGTTTGGTTACCAGACCCTGTTTGATTTCCAGACCCTGTTTGGTTTCCAGACCCTGTTTGGTTTCCAAACCCTGTTTGGTTTCTAAGCCCTGTCTGGTTTCCAGACCCTGTTTGGTTTCTAAGCCCTGTTTGATTTCCAGACCCTGTTTGGTTTCCAGACCCTGTCTGGTTTCCAGACCCTGTCTGGTTTCCAGACCCTGTTTGGTTTCTAAGCCCTGTTTGGTTTCCAGACCCTGTTTGGTTTCTAGACCCTGTTTGATTTCCAGACCCTGTTTGGTTTCCAGACCCTGTTTGGTTTCTAGCCCTGTTTGGTTTCTAAGCCCTGTTTGGTTTCCAGACCCTGTTTGGTTTCCAGACCCTGTTTGGTTTCCAGACCCGGTTTGGTTTCTAAACCCTGTTTGGTTTCTAAACCCTGTTTGTTTCTAAGCCCTGTTTGGTTTCCAGACCCTGTTTGATTTCCAGACCCTGTTTGGTTTCCAGACCCTTTTTGGTTTCTAGGCCCTGTTTGGTTTCTAGACTCTGTTTGGTTTTTAGACCCTGTTTGGTTTCTAAGCCCTGTTTGGTTTCCAGACCCTGTTTGGTTTCTAGACCCTGTTTGTTTTAAGTAAGCAGTCAGTCCACTTATTCTTGCCGACTGATGGGGAAAAAAGTGAGGCAGCACCCGTCTGTGTCTCTGGATGTGAAGTCCATTACACATTAAATTGATGACAACAGTAAAAGGAAAGTTGTGTAGGGCGCACACAACAGCTGGCAGCACATCTGAAAGACTTTTCCTGGCAAAGAAAACCCCAATAAAGCTTTCTTCTTTACACATTACACACAAACATCATGATGCATCCTAGAAACTGTACTGTAATGCTCTTTGAAGAAGTGTGTGCTGTAATGCTCTCTGAAGAAGAAGTGTGTACTGTAATGCTCTCTGAAGAAGTGTGTACTGTAATGCTCTCTGAAGAAGAAGTGTGTACTGTAATGCTCTCTGAAGAAGAAGTGTGTACTGTAATGCTCTCTGAAGAAGTGTGTACTGTGATGCTCTCTGAAGAAGTGTGTACTGTAATGCTCTCTGAAGAAGTGTGTACTGTAATGCTCTCTGAAGAAGTGTGTACTGTAATGCTCTCTGAAGAAGTGTGTACTGTAATGCTCTCTGAAGAAGTGTGTGCTGTAATGCTCTCTGAAGAAGTGTGTACTGTAATGCTCTCTGAAGAAGAAGTGTGTACTGTAATGCTCTCTGAAGAAGTGTGTACTGTAATGCTCTCTGAAGAAGTGTGTGCTGTAATGCTCTCTGAAGAAGAAGAAGAAGTGTGTGCTGTAATGTTCATAGGAGCAGTGGGGTTTAGGATGAATTGCTCAATTTGTGTACAAAGAGTTTTTTTTTATGTTTAGTTTGGTCAAAAGGAAACAAGGTACTTATTATACTCACAATGTCAAAAAGAGTCCATTATGTAAGCAAACACATGAAGAAGTATTTCTGAGTTGTCAGAATTCTTCACATTACATATTCTTACCTTACACCAAGACTAATGAAGCTGTTAATCCATCAACACCTGGGCTTTTTAATGCACTCATTGTAGAGACAGGTCAGTCAGAGAGAGAGAGAGAGAGGGAGAGAGAGAGGGAGATATGTGGCAGAGGAGCCACAGGTCAGACTCTCTCAATTAAATTGCAATTAAGTGCATAATCAAAGAACTAATTCCTTCTTCTATAAAATAAAAAAAACAATAAATCCTAAACACATTTCCCAGGAGACCAAGACCATAAATATCACTGAAAAATCCTCATCTTGGGGCGCTGATGGCGCAATGGTTACAGCGCGCGCCCATGTATTGAGGCTGTCGTCTCGAGCGGAGGCCCGGGTTCGCTTCCACCCGTGGCTCCTTCCGCATGTCGTTCCCCGCTCTCTCTCCCTGGTTTCTGACTCTATCCACTGTCCTATCTCTGCATTAAAGGCACAAAGAAGCCCCAAAAAAAATCTTAAAAAAAAAAAAAATCCTCATCTGGTGTGCAGGGGGCGTGTCACTCACTTAGACCGTAACAACGGGAAGGTTAAAGCCGTAACCGGGGATAAAAACCAAAATCTGAATGAATTGAAGTTATGAGTTCTTTTAGAAAGAGGCGTGTCCTTCTAATCACAGCCTATCAGTGGTGGCCTTGATTCAAAATCCGGAGTACGCCAGTCTGAGCTCAGCGTCCACCTTTCTTTCAAATATGTTCTCACTCAGCTGAGATACAAAGGTTTCTATCTGAACACCACTTATTCCAACACCTCTGACACAAAGTGACACAGAGGAGGTCAGGAGCGAAACCTCTCTGGATACTCTCTCCAGTGAGTGGGAGGAGCTATGTATTCATTTGGTATTTAGATGACTAATATGGGCTGGGTTTAGTTATTCTACACCTTTTCTTTATTTACAATAGATTATTGATAATCATTTCTTTAGGTTGTTATTTGTGTTGCATATTTAGTTTTGCATATTGTTTATCAAGTTGTGGGCACCTGAGGGTAAGAGGCAGGTAGAGGACCAGCATGCACTTTTTTTTTTTTTTTTTGCTTGCTTTAAAGAAATAAACAATCATTAAACACAGACCCCTCACATGGACACTGGACTTCTTTTGCCTGCGTTTATATCACTTTCATTTAGATTTTCTCAGACAAATAGCCACTTCTGTATCCATTCCATTATTAGTGTTACATGTTCATGTATGTTGTGTGTGTGTGTGTGTGTGTGTGTGTGTGTGTGTGTGTGTGTGTGTGTGTGTGTGTGTGTGTGTGTGTGTGTGTGTGTGTGTGTGTGTGTGTGTGTGTGTGTGTGTGTGTGTGTGTGTGTGTGTGTGTGTGTGTGTGTGTGTGTGTGTGTGTGTGTGTTTTGTCTGCCAGGACAGAAGTGGAGGGAGGGTGGAGCAGCAGCAGCGGGACTCCCCTTCACCGCCACACAGTGTTGGAGGACAGAATGGGAAACAGACAAGCGACAAGGTAATCACACACTTTATGGTTTCATCTCATGGGTTTCCTGCTGTGTAATATAAATGTGATTAGTATGTGACTGTCACTAATGTGTGAGACAACACGCTGCACTTACACACCTGTCAGTGAAAGTGTGAGCTCACACACAGGAAGTGTTTGAATCACCTCACTATGTTTCCTGTCTGACAGATGAAGGCTGATTAATACTCTGTGGAGGTTTAAAAAGACTCTGAAGTGGATAACTGGCTGAGTCTTATTTCACACTTGGCTCCAGGCGTGTCTGTTAAAACACAGATGCAGACAACTTCTCTCCTTTAAGTGCTTTAATTCAGTGTACAAACATGAGTGCATACAGGCTTAGAAATGTGAGTCACAAAGCTTAGCTATGATGCATTACATACAATGTTATGTTCTTCTGCATCTACTTCAAATAAGATATATTCATCTCAAACAGACTCTAATGTAATGTGCACTCAATAAACAAATAGGTTAATTATTCACTTCGGTCACCTAAGTGACAGTATCCGAACTAGCAATTAGAGAAACGAACTACCCAAATCTACAAATAAGGTTAAAACTAATACAACCATAGAATAAATGTACTTATAACTTATAATACAAAACTTACAGGTCTCTAGGACGCACGCACACCTCTTCTGGTACCTGAGTTTTCTAATTGGTGCACACGACCGTTCCTCTCTTTTCATCCTCGCTTCACTCTCCTTTCCTCCGCTGCCTCGTTCTCACTCTGAATATCCAGCGCGCGCCCGCTCGCTCAGACTTTCAGGTGCATGCAGCAATTATCCATCGCGGGTTTGGCTGCCTTTTGTACTCACAGTAACAGTCACTACAGTTTGATGTGGTACACTTACCTGTCCTGATGAATCTCTCGGGCTTCTTTGTGTTTTCTCCAGGAGGAGGTGTTTCAGTGGTGGGGGGAGTGGTCCAGTTGGTCCTCTTGTTCCAGGAGCTGTGGAGGAGGAGTGAGGAGTCAGGAGAGACACTGTCTCATACAGAGGTACGTCTTCTGTCTGTTCAGGACGCTGCAGTCATGTTGACAGTAAGGGCATTTTACCTGACAGTTTGTCATGTTTTGATCTGACGCTTGATTTTTGTTGAGTTTGAATGTTAATAGTCGAGGATAACTTAAGTCCAGGTACAAGGCAGGACTGATACGATGTTATTGCACCTTACAGTTGTGTATTTAAGATTTACGAGAAAGAACTCGGTGTAACAACATTCTGCCAATTATGGAGCTGTGGACGTAGCTACAGGTTAGAGCAGACAGCAGGACAGTGATGTGAGTGTGTGTCAGTGATGTCAAACTGTGGAAACATACTGATGCAGCAATATAACAGCATGTTTAAAAGCTAATACCGGACAGATATGCTTTCTTTCTAGTCCTTGTCAGGACACATGATGCAGAATTTGGAACCTGAGGAGTCTTTAAAGTAGGCCGAGGCGGTTAAAACGTGAATGATAATTATCAATGGAAATACATCAAATGTTTGATATGTAAAGTGTCCATCAGTATATTAACTAATTGGATCACACCACCCAAACACTGGACAAGGTGGCTGATGTGCCTTAAATGCTAGTTACCACCCGACATTAAAGAGAAGAAGAAAAAGACGGCAAACAGCCAATTGTGTTGCAGGGATATGGGCAGGCCGACAGACTTTTGGAGCGGAATGGAAAATGTTTTCCTCTTGGTTGTTCTTTAGCTGTATTTATTTACTCCCGTAACTTCACGATGTACCGGAAGTCCCCTTTGAAGTTTTTCAAAATAAAAGCACATTATATTTGAAGACCGGAAGAGACTAAGGCATAAGGCAATAAGAAAAGCAAAATAAAAGCATCACAAAGAGCAGTTTTTAATCTGTTTTTTAGAGCTTAAGGTAACTGGGTTACTCAATGGATGTTCATAAAGTTAGTGTCTAATTATCTTTTGTAACTTTGTCTTGTTGTATGATGTGTCAGCTAACATTAGTTATTGGACATTAAATGAAACAGAATGTGTTGATTTGCTAGAGGGTGGTAATATACTAGCATTAGAGCACCCGCACTTTTAAAATCGCTGCTCCACCCCTGACTGGTAGTCCGCTGGTGAAGCTGGAAAATGTCACGCTTAATTGCTTAAACAAGTTTCTTTTCCTGACGCTTCTAACATGCTCTTATAGACACAGGATACATGCATCTACTGCTATGTGAAGTACCACAGTCTGGAGGGGTGAGCAGAGACACCCCCATGCACAGAGGGATGTTAGGTTAAGCATGTTTGTAGCCATCTTGTTACCTTTGACCTCCCCCTGTCAGACCTGCGGAAGTTTCTGTCAACTCTGATTAACACCACCCTGCCCTCACTTTTGGCCTCTGCCTTCCCCCTCCTCCCACTTTCCCACTTTTTCGCCTTATGTCTGACCCTTTTACTCCTTCTTTCATTTTTTACTTTTTTCTCCTCCTCTCGACTTCCTTTTCCCCCTCTTCCTCCCTACCGCGTTCACCTCACTCCCTTCCCCTCCTGTCCTGTCCTCATCACCTTCTGCAATTAGATGTGACACTCACACATAGTGACCTCCAGCTCACCTCCTCCTGCTGTCTCCTTCTCTTTTTTTACCATCCAAACAGAGTAGGAGGATGGACTGAAGAAAGAGGCAGTGATAGACGGAGCTGGTGTGAATGTGTGTGTGCCTGTGTGGTGGGTGGGGGGTTAACATGGTAATGAAAGACAGATGCATTAACTCCATGTGTGAGTTCTGCAGTGACAACTCCCCCAGAGTGCAGAAGGCTGGCTTAATAAGAACTACAAGAACAATCAAATAACACAAAGGGACCAAGAAAAACACACATCACCTGTTATTATAAATATCGGGTTGTTTCCAAACGGCTGAGTTTCTACCGAGAACCATTTGTTTCTAAAGATCTCCTCTCCTGGTCTGGGTTCTTTGTTAAATAGGGGTTACATTTGGAGACTTAAATGGTTCCTCATTTTCAATCGTGACATTGATATCAAGAATATTTCCCAACAAGGTGTTCATGATCAGGTTATAACGGATGATGTGGAGGCTGCACGTTGGTTCCCTTTAGCCAATAAGAATCAAGTATTAAAATGCATGACCACAGCGATTGGTAAATGGGAAAAGGACTTGAGCTTGTATATTTCTTTTCTAGTCTTCTGACTACTCAAATCTCTTTTACACTGCAGGTCACACATCCACATTCATACACTGATGGTAGAGGCTGCTGTGTAAAGAGTCCATCAGTATTAACTCATCCATTCATACACATTCACACACTGATGGTAGAGGCTGCTGTGTAAAGAGTCCATCAGTATTAACTCATCCATTCATACACATTCACACACTGATGGTAGAGGCTGCTGTGTAAAGAGTCCATCAGTATTAACTCATCCATTCATACACATTCACACACAGATGGTAGAGGCCGCTGAGTAAAGCGTCCATCAGTATTAACTCATTCATTCATATGGACCTGATGGTCTCTTTACACAGCAGCCTCTGCCATCAGTGTGTGAATGTGTATGAATGGATGAGTTAATAGATGAATGGATGAGTTAATACTGATGGACTCTTTACTCAGCAGCCTCTACATCAGTGTGTGAATGTGTATGAATGGATGAGTTAATACTGATAGACTCTTTACTCAGCAGCCTCTACATCAGTGTGTGAATGGATGAGTTAATACTGATGGACTCTTTACTCAGCAGCCTCTACCATTAGTGTGTGAATGGATGAGTTAATACTGATGGACTCTTTACTCAGCAGCCTCTACCATCAGTGTGTGAATGTGTATGAATGGATGAGTTAATACTGATGGACTCTTTACTCAGCAGCCTCTACCATCAGTGTGTGAATGTGTATGAATGGATGAGTTAATACTGATGGACTCTTTATTCAGCAGCCTCTACCATCAGTGTTTAAATGTGTAGGTGTGACATGCGGTGTAAAAGCGCTTTGAGTAGTCAGAAGACTATTACTACTTAATAGCTGCCTTTATTTTACTGAGAATTACTTGTTTTCTTATAAGTAAAAATAACTGCAGTCTCTTGTGTGTCCACTTGAGGCTGGTTTAAAAAATCCTGAAAGTCACATACACCCCCCCAAAAAACTCATCCGATTGGATTACATGAAGGATAAGAGTTATTCATAATAAGGGGCGTGGCTGATCTGACTGACAGGCGAGTGATTTGTAGCTGAGGCTTAAGGCCTGACTCAGCTCCAGGTCTTTTCCTGTTGCTAGGTTTGTCTGACACAGAATTTCAAATATGGTGACGGCCATCAATGGGCTTCAAAGGTCCGCTTCAGAAACCAATGGGTGACGTCTCTGAGACTACGTCCATGTTTACATACAGACTATGTACAAACCATAGGGAGCAAAATATGTTTGGTTCAGAAGTTCTTGAAGTCTGCAGGAAAGAACTGGACAAACATCTTTTTTTTTTTAGGTTGAGGATTTTTCGAGCATCATTATATATTAATCATGGGGCGCTGACATTTTTTTAATTGAAAAGGTTTTCCATGTAAATATTACTTTGAATAATCTGTTGAAAAACTGTCATAAAGTTAAAAGTATTCTAAAAAATACATATTATTTATTCATCTTGGAGTTCAATTTTACACCTAAGTAATTTCCAAAATCCCGTTTATCACCAGTAACGAGTCTGCATTGTTTGTCGTTGTTGCATCGTGTTCTGAAGGGACACATTTTATTTGGAGAAGTTTCCTTTCCTGTCATTCCCTGATCAGGCAGTTCAATCTTTGTCAATTTTTATTTGTATAGAGCTTAGCCTAAAGGCAAACCCCTCGATTACAGGTAGATATTTGTTCCAACCCTCACCTTTGGTCATGAGCTTTGGGTAGTAACAGGAAAAATAAGATTGCAGATAGTGGTCGAAATGAGTTTCCTCCAAAAGGGTGGGTGGGCTCTCAGCCTTGGAGATAGGGTGAGGAGCTTGGAGTAGAACCTTCTGTATAGAAAGGAGTCAGTTAAAGGTTCTGGGATCTGATGAGGATCCCTCCTGGACGCCTCCCTCTGGAGGTTTCCTGGGTACGCCCAATTTAAAGGAGACCCTGTCGTAGACCTAGAGTTTGCTGGAGGGATTATTTATCCTGTCTGGCCTTGTAACGAATCAGAATTACCCATGAGGAGCTGGAAAACATTGTTGGGTAGAGCAAAGCCTGGTTTGACTTACTCGCCTTATGCCACCGCGACCTGTCCTTGGAAAAGCAGAAGAAAATGGATGAATGGAATGGACTTCACAAAAAGAGCAGGTCTAGACTGTACTCGTGGTTAAGGGTTCTGTTTATGTCAGTGAGGATCTGACGCAGCTAGAGTATTTCTTTTTGTAAACATTTTGTTACTGCTGGAGAGGACGTTGATGAGACTAGAGCTTGTGAGGCTTCAAACCAAAACAATTAGCTTAAAAAGGAAAAGCTCTCGTCAAGCTCTAACTCCACTGGAGCTCAGAAACAGTTCAACACAGCTCAAATAAGACACAGTTTGGAGCTGACATGTTAAAAGGAAACACATTAGCATCAGTCAGTATGAGGCACTTTGAAAGTGTTGTATGATTTGTGCCAAGAGTCTTGGAGGTGTATCTAATCACTGCCTGCTCGATCTACTCATTACAGAGTCAAACTCACTTCTCATTATGAGTGCTGAATGTCAGTGAATCACTGTTTATACCAAAAAGAAAAGGAGAGACTGAGATGAGGAAAAGCAAAGAAGGAAAGCTGGTTTTTGATACTGCTTCTAGGACAAAAGGCCCGAAGTCTGCTGGACTTCATATGATCAAACCTCCTGTAGACCATGTTTCTACACTTCACCCTGTATTCCCGCACATGAACTCCTCACTGTCAGGTGTGTTTGCCACTACATTCACGTAAGCTTGGGTCACCTCAATGCTTTAAAAACCCCGCTCAGGTTGAACACTATGCATTGGTTTCACTTCTACTCTCCCTGTCAAAAATACTGAATCAAGTCTCTGAAGTTCAACCCAAGTCAGCTTTAGCAGAGCCACTCAACCATGACTGTACTGCTGTGGGTAACTGATTCACTGCTCAGCTCAATAGTCCATCAACTGCCTTTAACCACCAAATCTTCCTCTCCACACTCTGAACTTGGTATCTCAGGATCAGTTCATGTCCTACCTCTTAGGGAGATCTTTAAGAGTGTCTTGGAGGGAAGACGTGTTCAAACCCGCACAGCTTGTCCACATAGGATCCACCCAGATCTCTGCAACCTTAAATCAAAATATACAGCTTGGATGCACCAAATTCTGGCTGATGTGATGTGTGTCAACCAGCAAACCTTTTAGATTCATGAGGCCATGATTGCTTCATATTAATAAGCCGTTTACAAAATAAGGAAGATCAGACCCTAGCTGCTGCTCAAATTAAAAACCCTACTGTGCACTTACAGAACAGCCGGGTCTGAACTCCCTCAGGGAGCTCTGTACTTTCTCTCGCCCACTACACTCCGCCTAGTCCTACCTTCACTTCACAGCCCTGAATCACATGCTGGACTCTTCTCCTCTGCATTACCCCGATGGTAGAATGAATTACCAAACTCAGATTGAGCTACAGAGTCCCGTTCATCCTTAAAAGGCGCTTTAGTTGATCCAAGCTCTTATTATTTCGATAACATAGTATCCTGTGTGTTTCAGGCTGTCCACTACCCAGAATGTAAACAGCTCTTATTGTGTCGGCTCTCCTAAACAATACCAACTCTGTCCTAACCAGGTATGACACTCACAAGATAATATATTCAATTGTTGCCTTTGAAACATGAAGGTTAACTGGAGGAAACATGTCATGTAAAAGTATGTGTGTGTTGTGTTTCCCAGCCCTGTCCCAGCCCCAGTGTAAGCTTCAAACAGCACCAGTGTTCCCAGTTCAACTCCAAAGCCTTTGGAAGACGATACTTCCAATGGATTCCTCTTTACCCAGGTATACTTTCAGCCTGCCCGTCTGTTTCTCCATTGAGGTCTTTAAAGATTCTTATCGTGCATGTTGAGAGTTAAGAGTTGCCAACTCATCGAGTCAAGTCTGTTGCAGAAAGAGTTTGAGTGGTACCACGGACAGTGAGAGAGAAAGACTGAGCTCACTGGTGTGCAGCTTTGAGTTTGTGCAATCCCAAATGATAACCACATGTGACTAATTCAATCTAAAGACTTCATCCCACAGAAATCCTACACTGTGATGTAAATGAAGTAAATATGCTTTTAAAATGTGTCATTTCCTGTGCAGCTGATTACATCAGCATCTCCAATAAGCCATGTGACCTGCAGTGTACAACCATCAGTGGTGAGCGACAGCTGCTGGTTCCCGCCCACGATGGTACTTTCTGCAGTGACACCAAATACCACGGAGTCTGTATCGAGGGATTTTGTCAGGTGACCCCCTCTGTGATTATTACATTTCATTTATGAGGTGACGTTTTGGATCACTGGTGTGCTACGTCTGAGTGTGTTTTCTTGTCCTGTTGTTCTGCAGCCTGTGGGCTGTGACGGGCAGCTGTACAGCAGTAAGACTGTGGACAGATGTGGAGTGTGTGGAGGAAACGGGACCTCATGCCAGCGTGTGTCTGGATCATACAGGAAGGCACTCACACAGTTAGGTAACACACACACAAACACACATGTAAACAAACATGAATAAAACTTAAATGCACACTGAAACTTCTAGAGGATTTGAGGAGGGCTGCCCCTGAAATCTGGTTGTTCAAAGACCGAGAACGTTTACAACAGTTTCCACTGAACCCTTTTTACTGCTTTTTAATTTAAAACCCATCATGAGATGATCTACAGATAATCGTTACAGAAACTCTTTTATTCCCACTGCAATACACATTTGAAACAAGGCTAGATAAGCAATGTTTTTTAAATGCTGTGCATGTGTTTTTACCTATTTATGGTACTTTTACCTATTTATGACCTAATGTGAGTGTTAGTGTGAATGTTTGTATGTTTTCATGTTACTGAGCCTCAACAAAAGGTCATTTTCTGTCACAATGTGATAGACAATAAAGTTTTTTGAATCTTGAATCTTCTATAGAGTGCTGATTTACTGAGACACTGTCTTTGGGTTCTGGTAAAGTTTTGATCTGTTAGATTAGGTTCACATCAGATCATAACGCCTGTATGAACAGTCTGTGTTTCTCTCATCAGGCTACGTGTTCATTACCAACATCCCAGCTGGAGCGTCAGACATTCAGATCATAGAGAGACACAAGACTGAGAACGTCCTGGGTGAGAACCTACAACTTCTTTAAGGTCAATAAACTGAATATCAAATCAACAGATTTCATTTTCATGTGCTGTTTATTTTGTGTCATAAAATCAGATATTCATGAACCATGAAGGACAAACATGGTCTGTACTTCTATCTGTTACTGATGAATGATTCAGTGATGCGTTCTTTCCTCTCCCACGCAGCCCTGTCGGATGAGGCGGGTCATTTCTTCTTTAACGGACACTCTGTCTTTGACCATCCTCAAAACTTCAGAGTGGCAGGAACAGTGTTTAAATACAGACGTCCCAGTAACGTGTTCTCTGACGGCCTGGAGTACATCATCGCCCAGGGACCCACTGTGCAGGGTCTGAACGTGATGGTACACACACACATACACACACACACACACAGATAACACACACACACACACACACACACACACACACACACACACACACACACACACACACACACACACACACACACAGATAACACACACACACACACACACACACACACACATACATACACACACAGATAACACACACACACACACAGATAACACACACACACACACACACACACACACACACACACACACACACACACACACACACACACTGGACTAGTCTTGCAGTATATGTGAGTTTAATTGTCTTAGGTATTTAACTTGGGACTTTCTCTGTGCAGTACTACAACCTGAACGGGAAGCTTCCCCACATCACCTACGAGTTCACCATCCCATCCCGTGATGTCACATCAGAACGCCTCCCCACAGGCCCCTCCTACTCCCATCTTAACCTCACCCATTATGCAGTAAAGGAGGGCGTCAGAGGGGATCAACTCAGAAAGTCTAATCAGAGCAGAGGGAGTGCAGCATCTTTTAATCACTACAACACGCAGCTGGGAGCAGATGACCACTCAGATGTCCAGGAGGAGGAGGAGGAGGAGGAGGAGGAAGAGGAGGAAGAAGAAGAGTTGGTGTGGGAGATCAGGACCCCCAGCCCTCCCCCACCAGCAGCCATGTTGGTCTTCAGGCCTGCTGATGTCACCAGTCATGTGATTAGTCATAATGATGTAGAAGAGCGGGGACCTCCAGCGCCATCTGGCTACAGTGAGTCTCAGATTTAAACTTTCTCTTATGTCAAAAGTTTGTTCCAGATTTTTGCATTTCACCAAACGTCATACATCTTAACTGAAAGGGTGGAGAATGTTTTGTGTCTGTGAATTAAGTCACAAAGAGCCCAAAACTTGATGCAGAAAGTGACTCTGTGACCACTGAGTGAAAGATGTAGTATGTGTACTGTGGCCACAAAGTTTTACAGTCTCACACTGTGACCTCCAGTAGGGGGCGCTGCAGCACACACTTCAGTCTGTAAGAGAATGATACATGAAACCTTAGTTTTAAATATAAATCAATAAATCTAAGAAATGTTTCTTCATATATTCTCGTCTCACAGCTAATGACGGCTCTTTGAAGTTTCAGATAACGACCTCCTTTTCTGTCTCACCCTCGAGGCCAGTGCTTTAAAATATTCACATCTATGTTTTTATTGGAGCTACAAAGAGATGAATGTTCAGAGATGACAGAAAGCCCTACTTTAGGATAAACTAGGTTCACATATCTAAAGCTGCTCACTGCATATTTAATCATCTTTCATGAAGGAGGCTCCTCCAACTTGATTGACGAGCCGTCCACTGCTGATGACAACACTCTGCTGCTCGCCTTCCCAGGTAGGAAACACAAATACACCAAACAGAAAGCCCACCTGTCTCTCTACCTGATTGTTGTGAAGGTGATATCTCTCAAGCACATCAAGCATAGTTCAGGTGGTCGAAGGTCAAAGTCTCTATAACCTCCCCTACAGCTTCTTTGTCCATGGCTCAAGAATTGTTTTTATTTATTTATTGAACCAGGAGAACCTCATTGAGATTAAGAATAAATATGAATATGAAAAGTGTGAAACAATGTCACCCAAATGTCTGACAGAATAAAGAGAGGAAGTGATGATTCTTAATAAACAAAAGGGTCAAAGGACGACTTCACTGTGACGTCATCACGTCCTGTAACCTGGAGAGGTTCATTGTTACGTTTGAAGTAGTGTCTGAATGGAAAAAGCCTCAACCTGTCGTGATCGTGTTCAGGATCTTCTGACATCACATGCTCTTCAGAGAGATGATGGTCTCATGGTTACACAAGGCCCTGGTCAGTCTGCCCTTTCAAGTTTCAGAGGTGTAATTGGGGGGACGTAGTGATCCCACCTATGTACCCTCTTTGGGGGTAGTAACAGAGGCGTAAAGAAGCGAGATGGTTTCAGCTGATCCAGTGGGGGGAGTGCAGCTATGTGTATGTGTGTGTGTGTGCTCGTCTGACTGTGTGTGTATGTGGAGTTCCCGCTGTGCTGTGTTTAAGAAATGCAATGTGAATTTACAGAATGGACACCGATAATATCAATATGAAGGTACAAAGATGTAATGAGGAAAAAGTAGTCTGAAGACTGTTACTGTCCTGATTGATGTTTACCGTCATTGTAATGGTTAATGAAGGCAGATCATTTAAAAGCAGTGGGGGCACATCACAATGGTTAGACCTCCTTACACAACAGTTATCAATGGGACAACAATCAGCCAAACTCAAAAACCAACTCACTGAATTCAACAAAATATGCAGTAACACTTTATGTTAAGGTGCGTGTAATAAGCATTAATAACAGGTAATAAGTCACTTATAAGACCTTATTAGATTCTTATTAACACAAATAAGACTATATAATGTTGTAATGCTATGTTTGTGTAGCATGTTAACTAGACAGAGTGTAAAAACGAATTTCCCCTCGCGGGATCAATAAAGTATACATTATTATTATTATTATTATTATTATTATTATTATTATTATTATAAGTGTTAATATAGGCATAATTAACACATTTATTATGTCTTATAAGACAGGCTCTTATTAGAAATGTACTGACACTTTATATACCGTCATAAACATTATTAAGATGTTTATTAACATTAATAAGACTTCATGAGGGTTAATTAAACTATAAATTGATTTATAATTGGCTTGCAAGATATTAATTAACACAGAAACTTGTTTATAGACTGTTAATGAGTGCATAATAATTTATTAATATTTATAAGTAGTGTTCCCACTTTAGATCCAGAACCTGCAGAGGAGCTTGGAACTTGTAATAAGTGCATAATAAAGTATTTATTAATCTTTATACGGCATTAATGTGAACCTAATAAAGTCTTATCAATGTTAATAAACATTTTATGAACGTTGATAAGTTGTCTATAAACAAGTTTCTTTGTGTTAATTAATTTCTTACAAGCCAATTATAAATTAATTTATATTAATTTAATTATTTAATTAACACTCATGAAGTCAAGTGTTAATACGTTTCTAATAAGAGCCTATAAGTGACTTATAAGTGACTTATTACCTGTTATTTATGCTTATTACAAGCACCTTAATATAAAGTGTTACCAAATATACTCCACAATTCTCACCACCATTTTGATGAGTTGATGCCACAGCAGAACCAGGCGAGTAAACGAGGAGGAGAGAGGAAATCAGCACAACAATTTTAATATAATTTACAAACAGTCTGTATTTGGCAATCATCATGTTAGCACCCATACAAAGTGAAAAACAAAACAAAAACAAACAAGTAACACCAAAAATCATCACCATGTGTACAACCTATCTCACCAGTTTGATTTTACATAATTGTGTTACTATACTGTCCCCATGTTTTTCTTTGTCCTGTTTGCTCATTTACTTATTTTGTCCCTCTTTCTAATTTATTCATTTTATTTACTGACCCTTTTCCTTTTGTTTTGTTTGTTTGTTTTTGTCTAAATCTGCTTGCAAAACTGTATCGTACCACAGTTCCCCTCTTGTTTGTATCTCTTTCTTTTTTTGTGTGTGTGTGTGAGTATGTGTATGCACGTTTTGGTAAAAGTAAAAAAGAAAAAAGGCAGTGATTTATTGAAATAAAAAAATAATGATGAGACTGTTGCTCTTCTTTTAAGGGAGCTCTGTATTTCAGGTCCATAAAAAGCCTGCTTCTGTATCCATCTGTTCACAGGCAGCCAGAGTGTTCCTCCTGCAGCTCTGCCGGAAGACGCCCCCTACCTGCTACTAGAGGAATTACACTACAACCAGACACACTTATACACACACTCCCTCACCCAGTTAAACACACACTCCGTCAACCACACACTCACTGACACACATGTTGACACACCGTCCTCCACAGACACTAAAGTGCACACAGTTCCTGACACACACTCAGACACACACGCTGCCGTCCTGGTGCAGCTGCATCAGGTGTCTGCGGTCCAGGCAGTTGGTACAGAGAGGTGTGTGTCACTGTCATGTCACATGTTTTGTGTTTTTAAAATTATACTTCAACACTCTTCTTAAGTCATGATATTTTTTTTTTAATCACTTAAAGCATTTCTGTTTAAATCTTTTCAGTGACAGCTGAGGTTTGTTTTATGACACGACGTTATTTTCCTTTTCTAACCAAACGAGAATCTTTATTTGTGGGTTTTTTTAAGTGTTGAATATCAGGTGTGAGATGTGTGCCTGTCTGTCTCTGTGTCTGCAGTAATGACTTTGATGTGGGTCTGGATCCAGATGTGAGTTTGGCAGACATGTATCGCTGGAAGATTTCTGCTTATGCTCCATGCAGCTCCACCTGTACAACAGGTAAACACATAAACACTTTAATTTATTTACATAATTAACTGTTTCATAACATCATGTTGCTGTGCCAATCTGTGAATTTGAACTCTGTGCCCTGGATGTCACACAGACACACAGTACAAAGAAGAGCTGCATAAAAACAAAACATTTGTTTGGAGCTGCAGACAGGTTTATTTGTTCTTTTGAGTGAAACCTCCCCCTCGCTCGCTCGCTCTCTCTCTCTCTCTCTCTCTCTCTCTCTCTCTCTCGCTCCCCCCTCTCCCTCTCCCCCTCTCTCTCTCTCCCTCACTCTCGCTCTCTCTCCCTCTCTCTCTCTCTCCCTCTCTCTCGCTCCCCCTCTCTCTCTCGCTCCCCCCTCTCTCCCTCTCTCTCTCTCTCGCCCCCCCTCTCTCCCTCTCTCTCTCTCTCTCTCTCGCTCTTGCTCCTTCATGGCAGCTTTGGGCTCTGGGAGTCAGCATACTAGTCAAACAGTGATTGCAGTAAAGCTACATTGTGAAGCTTCTTTAAACATGTTGTTTTTGTATCTCCAGGTATTACTACTAGTTACGCCCTCTGTGTGCGCTATGATGGAACTGAAGTGGACGACAGTTATTGTGACTCTCTGGCCAGACCGGAGCCCACACACGAGTTCTGCACCGGAAAGGAGTGTCCTCCAAGGTACTGTCATCACTGTCTTCTCTGTCCTTACTGTCCTCATTGTCCTCTCTGTTCTCATTGTCCTCTCTGTCCTCATTGTCCTCTCTGTTCTCATTGTCCTCTCTGTCCTCTCTGTCCTCACTGTCCTCATTGTCCTCATTGTCCTCTCTGTCCTCATTGTCCTCTCTATCCTCATTGTCCTCACTCCTGATTGTCCTCATTCCTGATTGTCTTCACTCCTCATATCACTGTCCTCAGTGTCCTCACTGTCCTCACTGTTGTGACTGTCCTCATTTTCCTTACTCCCAATTGCCCTCACTGTCCTCTATATCCGACTCTGTCCTCACTGCCCTTACTGAGGCACAGTACTAACATGTGACTTGTCATGTTAGCATAAAAACTGCTACATCGAGCTAGCTCTTAATAATTCCTCCAAAGATGCATAACGCAGCTCTAAACCTGCATTACATATCAATGGGCTATGTTTTCTCTAAAACGATAAACCTGCCACCCCTCCTCTCCTCAGGTGGGAGACGAGTGGATGGAGTGAGTGCTCTCGAACCTGTGGGGAGGGCGTTCAGTATCGAACCGTGCGCTGCTGGAAGATGCTTTCACCCGGCCTCGATTCTTCCGTCTACGATTCACTGTGTTTGTCACATGACCTCCACAAACCAGCCAATAGGAAGGTCTGCCTGGGTCAGAGCTGTGGACCCCAGTGGGAGGTGTCTGAGTGGTCAGAGGTAACACAGCAGCAGCACAGGCAACATGTTTCTGTTTGAGGGATTTGGATTTTAAATATATATATTTTTTCTGGTAATAAAAGTCAAACAAACTCTAAATGATATGTTCTTCAAATCTTAAAGAAGCTCAAAGCTACCAAACGTTTAAAAAAAAAACAGATCTGCCAGTAAGTATCCATTATTCCACATCAGTATCAAACAGTGTAAATAAGCATTACATCAAACTGAAATTTAAATATAAGACTGAAAAACAACAACAGTAACGGTTTGTTAACTTTTGAGTTTCTGGGAAAGTAGCACAACAACACATTACAAACCTTATATTTAGGTGTCCCCTGAACATCTACAGAGAGAGGCTGCTTTTTTAACCTTTATTTAACCAGTAAAGAAAACTCATTTTTCAAGAGTTTGCTGACCAAGACAGGCAGCAGCACAATGAATAGAGTTTCACACAGACAACGAGCAGCCAAACATTCAAACACAAAAATACATCATTAGGCATTAAAACACACAAAAAACTCATCTGAACAGCAAACGTTTGTCCAAATCATCCACCAACACATCAGGGAGAACATCTACAGCCAAATGTCTTTTAACCTCCTCTTAAAAGCGTCCAACGTTAGAAGTTCATTAAGTTTCAGCTTTTTTTTGTAATTTGTACCATGCAAAGGAAGCAGCAAACTTAAACGCCTTCTTCCCCAGTTCTTAGCAAAGTGAGCTTCAGGCTACACGTCGATGTGGCTCGCAGAAGCAAATGAGGTTGGAACAAAGGCTTTTCAACTATTATATCCTTACTCTTATTGGTTCAGGTATTGGTTCTAAAATGCCACCGTTTTAGCACAATTTAACTTGTTTAGGTAATAATACCTCTATTAAACATGCACAGACACACTGGTTCTCTCACTGAAAACAGCTGAGATCCGTGTGTGTTGAAAACTCGAAACAGAAATTACTCCTCTTCTCCTCATGTAGCAGCATTATAAACATGTTTATTAATTCAATTCAATTCAATTCAATTTATTTTGTATAGCGTCAACTCATAACAAGTGTTATCTCAAGACACTTTACAAAAAGCATGTAAAATACCTTACTCTTTGTCTGTTAACATTACAAAAGAGCAGGTAAAAAGACCTTACTCATTGTTATGTTACAAAAAGCAGGTAAAAGACCTTACTTATTGCTATTTTACAAAGACCCGGCCTATCCATCATGAGCAGTTTAGCAAAGCAGCAAAAGTTACAGTGGTAAGAAAACACTGTCTTATTAAAAGGCAGAAATCTTTGGCCTGGGTTGGAAAGGGATAGGGGGAGAGATGGGATAAGATGCAGGAAGAGGGATAGGGGGAGAATTTTGTTTTATTACAGAATAAATTACAATTTTATTACATGTTAGTCAACTTTTGTTCTCGTCAGTTCTTCATGGTCTGTGTTATGGTGTTAACATTGTGTGTGTGTGTGTGTGTGTGTGTGTGTGTGTGTGTGTGTGTGTGTGTGTGTGTGTGTGTGTGTGTGTGTGTGTGTGTGTGTGTGTGTGTGTGTGTGTGTGTGTGTGTGTGTGTGTGTGTGTGTGTGTGTGTGTGTGTGTGTGTGTGTGTGTGTCAGTGTTCTGCACGGTGTGGCTCTCGGGGAGTTCGTAGTCGAGAGGTCCGTTGCTCAATGGAAATAAGACTCTGCAACAGATCCTCTCAGCCAATAGAAAGCCAGGAATGTGAAGGCCCGCCCTGTGACAGAAGATGGACAGTCACTGACTGGGGACCTGTGAGTAAATTAACACACACACACACACACACACACACACACACACACACACACACACACACACACACACACACACACACACACACACACACACACTAAAGATACAATACTGGAGGTCGTGTGTGTGTGTCTGTGTGTGTGTGCGTGCGTGCGTGCGTGCGTGCGTGCGTGTGTGTGTCTCAGTGCTCGGGTGTGTGTGGCGAGGGGCGGATGGTCCGTGCTGTGATGTGTCGATCATCAGGTGGGGTTGTGATGTCAGAGGAGCAGTGCGACCAATCCCTGCGCCCGCTGGCCATCCATCCGTGTGGAGACAGAGATTGCGCCCCCCACTGGGTGGAACAAGAGTGGCAACAGGTAAAACGTTGAACTGAAAACAGTTCATAAAAACATTTTCTAATTGATTTCAACACAACATACAAAAAAACTAGAAAAAGAAGAATGTGGCTCACAGATACAGAAACATGTAAACATGCTTCACATCATGCAAACAGAAAAACAAACCCCATCCAACTGTCCCATCACAGGAGAAAAAATAACCACAAGTATGAAGAAAGCAAAAAAGACAGAGAATCATACTCAAGTGTGACTTCCACTGAGTCACAGTTTGGATTCAGTTTTGAACAGTTATAGAAACAGTGAGGTAGCAGCTTGACGTGTGTGAACTTGTGATGTTGGGGGATAAATGAGAGGAAATATGCTCAAAGTCATCACACTCACTCAATTTGTAATCTGAAAGACCCACATTGAGTCCACTTTCCCATGTGTCCTTTAACTGACCTGTGTGTGTGTGTGTGTGTGTGTGTGTGTGTGTGTGTGTGTGTGTGTGTGTGTGTGTGTGTGTGTGTGTGTGTGTGTGTGTGTGTCAGTGTAATGCTACTTGTGGGCGTGGCGTGCGGCAGCGTCAGGTGGTGTGCTCGGGCCTAGAAGGTGGTGTGTTCAAAGAGTTTCCAGAAAGCAGCTGTGATCAGAGCAACAGACCAGAGAGCAGCTCGTCCTGCTTCCAGAGACCCTGCTCCAAGTGGTTCACCACATCCTGGTCCCAGGTAACTAAGTCCAGAGAGAGGTTATGTACTTTAAAAATGATGTTCAGGAGATCCAGCTCTTGGTTTTGGTTAAAAAAAAAAAAAAAATCTAAATTCCCTGTCTGCTCTTCCCCCCCCTCAGTGCAGTAAGACTTGTGGGAGCGGCGTCCAGGTTCGAGAGGTGAAGTGTTACCAGGGGGAGGAGCTTGTTACTCGGGGCCACAGCTGTGACTCTGCTCTGAAGCCAGAGGCCCGGCAGAGCTGTGAGATCCAGAGCTGTCCGACAGAGGCTCCAGGTGCTACAACAAACACAACCTGATGCAACATGTGTGCTACACTTTCAGCTCCGACATGCGTCACCCTCACAAAGTGTTTTTCTAACACTGTTTTTCTCTTCTTCTTCTCATGTTTGTGTGCTATCAGCAGCTGCGCCAGCTGCGTCAGTAGCCATAGACGACTCCTGCCAAGACAAACCTACAGCAAACTGTGCCCTGGTCCTGAAGGTGAAACTGTGCTCTCACTGGTACTACAGGAAGGCCTGCTGCCAGTCCTGTAAGGCACCGAGACCCTGAAGTCTGAACTGAAACCACTCACCTCAAACCACTGGTACCCCGAGGTCACATGGTGCTACACAGAACCTGCTGCTACAAATGTACGGCCTCATGACATTTATCTTTTTACTCCTCCTCCTGCCACTGAGGTCAGAGGTCACCCTGTGGTCACTGTCCTCACCGCCTGTCCCTAAATGTTATAAATTCTGGTTCCTCCAAAATGTCAAATCTGGTTTTGTGTGAGGTAGTGTCATCCCCCTTTATGTTTAAAAAAGTATATATGAATCAATCCCACTGCTTCCTCATAGAGATCTCAGTCAAATAGTATTCAACACAAAGTTTCCGTTTCCTATAGCAACAACCTGAATCGACCGTACGTCTCTTTACTGCTCCACCCTTGTAATGTGAACATAGACTCACTTCAGGTCACAACGTGCTGCCTGCTCACCTGTTTGTGTTACACGGAAGAAGAAGCAAACCATTCCGAGTTTAGAAACATGAATAAAGGTCATAATTATTATAATGCTCTCTGGAGATATTTATTTATTTGTTGCATGTCCCTGAAAGTGAATCTCCTTCAATTGCTATAAGTTACTTCAGTTTTTCTTTTTTTACTACCCCCCTCTTTTTTATTATTATTTTTTTTGTATTTTGGGTCCAAGTGAATAAGGGTTAAGGAAATGAAGGATCGCCCCAGAAAGTTGCATCAACGAGCAGCTGAACCTGCAGCAGTGAAATCCTCCTGATCCAATTCTTCTAACATCAACACATCCACTAAGAGCTGCTGTTTTTTCCCTGACAGGCTCAGATTGGTGTTTCTAAGTGTCTGACAGCATGATTACAGATGCCCCCCCCAACCCCTCCAGACTACATTTACAAAAACAGTCCTTTAAGCTCAGGAGGCGCTGCTCTACTGCTGTCATTTTTCCTTTTTAGTGAATCTTTGGTATTTTTAATATTCAGTAATGCCAACACACAGCATAAATAAAACAGTCGTTGCAGTGTCTGTTGGCCAGAACCTTCTTGTTTTAGGAGGTCAAAAAGAGATACTGTGTCTTGTAGTTAAAGTCTTATTATGCCACTTTCAGATCAAAACAAATGCTCACTACGGACACACCTCCGTCCTGTTTCACTAACAGCGTTCTGTAAGGCAGAGGAAGCAGACAAGAGCTGCTGATTCTGCAGTCAAATAATGAGATGCATCTCAAAGTCGATTGGGGAGTTAAGTCTTTTCGTTGGTTTGGAAAGTCTGTTGGATTTTGAGTTACACTCTGTCATTGTTCCACTAGTAACAGCGTCCCTGAGTGGGCGGGACCGTCTCTCTCGCCCCCCCATAGAGGGAGGGGCTTCACTCAGGGAAAAAGAAACATGTGTGAAACAAGTCTAAGCCTCCGAGTGAAACATAAACAAGCTGAAGGAAGCTCCGCCCCATCTGTGTGAACACAGACCAGAGATCAACAAATCCAGAGGAAGTCATCGCTCCACTTTATATTTCCACTAATGTGATTTTTATATCAATATTAAGAATGTTACATATGGGGCAGGCTGTGGCTCAGTTGGTAGAGTCATCACCTCTCAACCAGAAGGTTCAGGGTTCAATCCCCTTTGGGCAAGACACTTAACCCCGAATTGCTCCCTCTGCTTTGGTGGCGGTGTATGAATGTTACTTCTGATGGATGATACTACATAGCGATCATCACTACCATCAGTGTGTGAATGGGTGGGTGTGACATGTGGTTTAAAAGCGCTTTGAGTAGTTGGAAGACTAGAAAAGTGCTATATAAGCTCAAGTCCATTTACCATATTATGCCTTTTATAGCAACAATATGTAACTTTTCCACCTTAAAAATAGTTGTTTTAAAGATCAATGTAATAGCACAATAACTTCCAGTAGGTAGGATGGCGTCTCTCTCATGTCCAGAGTGCTCCAGTTACCTGTTTTGTAACCTTAGCAACAGGCCGAGGTCATCTCATAAGAAGTGTGTGTGGCTTTACGGCTCTACTTCACACAGCAGCCTTCAGTTATAAAAAGAAGCCACTCGTCCCTGTACTGTTTGAAACAACGGCTGAGGCTAAGAGGAAGAGGACGGTGACGGATGAAGCTCAGAGGAGGGAAAGAGAAGAAGCCGGAGTAGAGGAAACATTGGACAGGCTTTTACATAATGGCCTTTACTAAACAGCAGTCTGCAAACCTGACGCTATGATGCTGTCACACTACTGCCCAACAAGTAGGTAAGCTCTAAGGGCAGAGTATTATTCAGAACAGATTGAGACGTAATGTTAGCATGTATCGTTATCGCTAGTCATCGTTGGCAGGAAGTCGTCCAACCCGAGTTATGTTTCAGGTTTGATACAAATAAATCAATAAATCAATCTGACACCAAGAAGTTGTCTCTTTCCTCTTCGATCTTTAAGTTAGCTTCATAAGTTTGGAACCTTTACAAACCTATCTCAGCTAGTATGTCATCAATGAGCTTCTCCAATGTAGACATTTATCCACGGCCTATAGTCGTCATGGTAACAGTTGAATACACATGCGTTGATAACAACGGGCTGAAGGTGCTAGCAGAGTCAGATTATCTAGTAGCTAGTCTTTCAGCTATAAGTGAGACGGTATGACATCTTTGAAACACTGAACATAAAGGCATTCGTCCTCTGGTTAACCTTTACATTTTTAAAGATGTGTGTGATGATTATTGACTTTATCTTCAGGAAGTCCAGATTACTTCAGGAGAACTTCCCTCCTGAGGGATTCTGAGTCATCAGTGGTCCTAAATGTAGTCTTCGTTGCTGTTTTTGTTCTTTGTTGACTCTTACACACATACAGAATTAAAAAAAATCAGCCCATTTGTCAAGCGTCTGCGTCTGCTTGTGATTTGAGCTCCAAATGCTGCGGAAACACAACAAAGCTCCTCCTGAGAACTTTCAGGAACATGGGCGGAGAAGATTGAATAACAAGAGGAAAAACACAAACTGAGGAACAGGACAACCAATGAATAAGAGAAAAGCTTAAATTTCAGAGTAACCATAGAAACCCACTCTGGGGGTTGAATGGTTACCCAAAAGAGGAGGTAGACTATACGTTGGTTTTACCTGAAGGACCAGTTAACAGAACACACTAATTACTAATCTCACCTGTAACCTGACCTGTTTCTCTGTCCCAATGTGTTGTTTACTGTGAACAATTTACATTGCCATGGTAACAGGAAGAGGGGTCCCAATGGATGATGGCTGGGTGAAAGCACATTACACACCTGAACACTCACAGATCACTCACCTGATCAGCTCTCAACAACACGCGAGGAGTCGTTCACTGACAGACGGCACTTCAGCTTTTTATCATTTCTATAAACTCATAAACAGTGAAGAAAGTGTGTGTGTGTGTGTGTGTGTGTGTGTGTGTGTGTGCAGGACACAGCTCCAAACATGGTGAGTACTTCACGATCATCTTTGTCTACAGAGATATGTTCACACTAAGAGACGGGATTCAGAGTCTAACTTAAACTGTGTTGAAATATCAATGATGTGATATTAAAGTCAGAGCTGACTTCAGTTTCCATGACAACACGTTGACTTCAGTGTTTCTCCTCAACTGTCTTCAGATCACAGCGTTTGAATGACATGTTAGAAGCTCAGGAGGTGAGTTAAGTGATAAGTATTAATACAAAGAACAATGACAAACTAATATTACTGTTAATAATAATTTTAAATTAGACAAGTGTGACTCGTTGTAAACACTGAAAGATTTTCACTGCACTTTGGCAATGTAAACTTGTAAAACCCATTTTGGGACAAAGTGGTAGGACACAGAGGTAAGGGTATGACGATACCTAAATCAGAGGATCAAACAGACTTGACAAAAGTTTCAAAATATGACCTTGTTGTGATAAATGTGATAAATGTGATAAATATAATGTGCTTATACATGTTGTACCATTGTAATGATACAAATGTGTTACTGTGGTTACTGAACTGAAGACTCACTTATTACGGGACATATAGTCTGCTTTGTCTGTTGAATGTTAAAAAAAACCGAAATATAAATATATAATATTCACAGCTAGACAAATAAACATCTTCATTTTAGAAGTATTATTTCTAAAGTATGTTTAAGATATGAAGGCTTATAGGACAGCTGAAATCTGGTGACCAAATTCCCTCCAGAATCAATAAAGTATTTCTGATTTTGATCACATGATTCACACAGAAAATATCTCATTTTACACTATCATCATTTAAAGGTAACATTCATGTCCTTTTTTGACTGTTTGTCATATCGAATGTTGACATCTAATCAGTTAGAAAATGTTTATGAACTGAGATGATAATGCTGAGGAGCTGTCAGTGTGGTGACGACGTTGAGACAGAAGACGAGACTGAGAGATGTTTAAAAAAATCTGTTTCTGCCAGGATGATGATTCAACAGTGTAATACATCATTCAAAGCATTAAATATCAGCAGGAAAGAAGTGATTTAAATATTTGCTATAAACTGTGAAGCGATCTGCCCGAGGAGGTCAGCTGAGTTTACATCACCTTCTTCAGACAAACGTTTACCGGCCATTGTTGTTTTGAGTCATTGTTTTAGGATTGCTTTCCCTGTAAAGCACTTTGTAACTTGATTTTAAAAAGTTTATAGGCTATTTATTGTTAGGATCTTATATTTACTCAAAGGAATGGAAACCTGTCAGGACCGGCTGCATCTCTCTTCAGCTCGCTGTCAAAGTCTGTGTAGATAACTGTGATATTAAACTGATAAACACACGATGATGATGATGTCATATCAAACAATTAAAGTCTGTCTGTCTGTGTGTCTGTCTGTCTGTCTCTGTGTGTGTGTGTGTGTGTGTGTGTGTGTGTGTGTGTGTGTGTGTGTGTGTGTGTGTGTGTGTGTGTGTGTGTGTGTGTGTGTGTGTGTGTGTGTGTGTGTGTGTGTGTGTGTGTGTGTGTGTGTGTCTGTCTGTCTGTCTGTCTGTCTGTCTTCATGCCTGTCTGTCTGTCTGTTGCAGGTCTCTCTCACAGCCCTCAGGTTGTTTGCAGTGTTGGTGTGTGTGTGCTGTGTCGAGGAGTGTGTGTGCTTTCCTAATGGCTCAGTGGCGTTCTCCTGTGGCAGCTTGATGCCGGTACACCCACCCTTCACCCCCTCCACTAGCAGCCCCCCTTCATGGTGTCCACCTCCAGCACCACCTACAGGCCTGGAGGAGTCATCACAGGTATTCCCTCACCCACTTCACCCTCTGACCTCCACATCTGAACTGACCCCCCTCCTCCTCCCCCCTCAGTTCTTCCTGACTCCACCTCTCCACTGTGGGGTGGGGTTGTGTGTAACAGTTCACAGGTGAAAGAATCCCATCCTTTCTGTATCACAGTAACATGACCCTCTCTTTCTCTCTCCTTGCAGTGATGTTGGAAGTGGAGACAAGCAGCTCCACAGAGTTTCAGGGTTTCATGTTACAGGCCAGGAGCAGGGGCGGAAACGGTAATCGGCATCACTGTGGATTAGAAATTATTGACTGTAGTACTGAGATGTTTGTCCGTGGATTACTGTAAAACCTGTAAATGTGGCTGCAGTTCATTCAGCGTGCACTAGAGGGTGTCTGCCTGCAGTGAGTCCATCCCCATAGAGAGCCCCATGTTAAAATGTCCAACTTTACAGCTGCAGTTCCTCCAGTGTCCACTAGAGTCTGTCTCCTGCAGTGAGTCAGTCCCCATAGAGCCCCATGTTAAAATGTCTAACTTTACAGCTGCAGTTCCTCCAGTGTCCACTAGAGTCTGTCTCCTGCAGTGAGTCAGTCCCCATAGAGCCCCATGTTAAAATGTCAGACTTTACAGCACAAATTAACATGTTTACAGCCCAGTACAAAAAAACTATTTGGGTCCTCATTTCTCTTTTCATGACATGTATACGGGCTGAACTTGTTTACATTATAGGAAGGCTAAAGTGATTAATAATTAGGGGGTGTGGCCTCTTTGAGTGACAGGCAGGAGCTGCTAGCTGTCTACAAGTATTCAGAGTATTCAGCCACTTAACTTTAACCTCTGGGTCTTTTTTGTGCTGTTATTAAATTATATGGAACAAATGATCTGGCTTGCTTTGCAGTTTGTTGTAGTAAGAGACCGTGCAGCAAGTGTGTCTAGTACTGTCTTATCATGTCTTATCTTATCAAAAGTAGCAACAACAAGTAGAAGTGTGCTGTAAATCTAAAGACAGATGTGTGGTCAAACTCTGGAGGTTGAACAAAGACACACCGGGATGTTTCTGATCCTGCTGATTACTCTGCTCACCGGTCTGCAGCTGCAGTAAAATGTATAATGCAGAGGGGCCGACACAGTTAGCTCTAATCAGCAGGTGTATCTGTGCTCACAGAACTAGTCCCAGGCGTAGACCCTGCTCTGATAACTTTATGTCTTTATTAAACCTGATTCAGGCCCTTGTCTCAGTACTTGTTTTACATTTAGAACAACAGGAACTACTTTGGATATTTATTTTCCCAAAGGAGTTGACAAATGGGACAAATCATGAGGATGTGTTTTGTATGATTTGTGGAGATTTGTTTATTCATGAACTCTTTGCATCTTGCTTCCAGCCGAGCTGTGGCCTGTGGGGAAGTTCACCAACATCGACCCCTCCCTGTTCACGGCTCTGCACTGTCAGGATCAGCAGGTAAAAAATAATTTTGCTTCAACAATCATATTAATGTGAAACTCTTTTTAGTGTTGCTGTGGTGACGTGGAAGGACATTACTCTCACAATCATATCATGCAGCTGTTGTTAATATCTTACTAATAAGTACACTGAAGGACAAAGACTCAACAGTTGACATGAAAGGGATGCTGTTGGCGCGGTGGTTGGGGCGCGCGCCCCGTGTCCGGAGGCCGCGGTCCTCCGGGCAGCCCAAGTTTCGGGTCCGACCTGTGGCTCCTTTCCCGCATGTCGTTCCCTACTCTCTCTCTCCCTGGTTTCCAGTTCTGTCCACTGTCCTGTCTCTCTTATAAAGGCACAAAATGCCCAAAAATAAATCTTTAAAAAAATAAACAACAAAAAAAAACAGTTGATATGAAGCACGTCGTCAGCAACATACCTGTGTGTGTGTGTGTGTGTGTGTGCGTGCGTGCGTGCGTGCGTGCGTGCGTGCGTGTGTGTGTGCAGAACTCGACTGTCAGTCAGGCAACAGGAACGAAGAAGAAAAAGGTGGAGGTGACTTGGGAAGCTCCTAATAACTACGGAGATATCTACTTCAGGTAATCAGGATCCATACCTGTGTCACGTTTCACAGCACATGCACTGACTCCGGCTGACCTCCTCGCTGTGTTGTTGTTGTTGTTGTTGACAGTGCGACTGTGGTCCAGGACTACAAAACATTCTGGGTTGGGCTGAACAGCAGCCTTCTGAGACAGGACAGCAGCTCTGCAGCGGGACGAGTGAGTACTGACTGACTGACTGTTCAGAGAAGGAACACGACTAGTATTTTTGTGGAGACGGTAGTAATGGTAGAAGTAGTGCTGTAATTTAAGGTTTAAAGTCCCGGCTCTATGAAGAGTCCCTCTGAAGGACATTTCCACCGGCTGTTTGTGTGCAACGCTGAGGGCTAACTTAGGCTAACTTCATAATATTAAGCTCATATCATTCTGACTTTAAATTAAAGAACATAATAAGAAACATCCGCCCCTGTGTGTAATTCAATTGGATGGGAAGTGTCCCTCTGCTCTGAATCTGCTGCATGTCGGCCATGTTGGCTGCTTCTCCTTCATCCATGTGGCTCTGACTTCTCCCCGTCGCTCACAGACATCACGTTAACTCGTCGCCTCTTCTCCAAGCTCCAGTTTCCCTCTTTGTCTGTTTTTCTTTACTTTACATCTGTCCTGTGTGATATGGACTGTTTTCTGTCTGTGTGTGCTTTGTGTTGATATGAGTGTTGATGTTAGGAATCCAGCACAATGATGTAAAATAAAAATACAATCCATCACTTTTCTAAAAGTATTTCAGTGAGAGTAATGAGCCTGGTATGAAAGGTATCTGAAACCTTTTAACTTACTGTACTCCATGACGGCCAGATGAAATGATTGACGTGTCCGACCTGCACTTTGAACCTGACATCTCTCTCTCTCTCTCCAGGTCTTTTCCCCCTCATTTCTGCTCTTCATCATTCTGCTGAGTCTGCCTGTTTACTGCTAATACATACAAACACACACGTACTTACGCATGCACGCACACACATTTATGATTTAAAATGCTTTTTGATCAAACTTAAGTTCTGTCTGTTTGTAACTGGACGACATAGGCAGACGATTTCTCAGGTTGATTCAAATGAAAGGGAAGCTGTTGCTGTCTGCACCTCACATCAGTGCAAGTGTCAAAGCAAAAACAGGCTGCGACAACCAACTACTACCTGCTATTTATAACAAACTTCAACCTGCTATAATCAACTACAACCTGCTATAACCTGCATAGGTGAGGTCAATGTTTGATCTTTTGAAGGAACCCATTTGCTTTTCTCAGACTTTCTTTGTGTTTTCAAATAATCAAAAGCGTCAGCGAGCATCATGGTCCATAAAAAGCTCCGTTCAGACAGCCGGAGTGTGAGGATTGTTGCTCCATACGGGTTTTTTTCAGGTTTATTTTGGGACTTTTTATGCCTTTATTTTAGAGATAGGACAGTGGACTGAGAGAGTAAGGAATGACATGTGGAGGTCACAGGTCAGATTCAAAGATGGGCTAGATGCCCGGAGGACCACAGCCTCTGTACATGGGGTGCGTGCACCAACCACTAGGACACCAGCTCCACATGGGCACCACACTCTTTTTTGCCTTTATTGGATAGGACATTTGAAGAAAGACAGAAAATGTTGCGAGGAAAGGGGGGGGATACATGCAGCAAAGGTCGGAGGTCATAGGCTATACACCACCCTTCATATTTTCTCTTTAATATAAACTTAGAAGCAATATTTAGCATTTTAAAGTTTAATAAAGTCATGTCTTTAAGATTGACATTGTGTTCGATCATCACAAAGAAAATGGACAGGTTGTTTTGTCCTTCCTGAAGGTGGCGCTGTTTGTATATCAGCCTGTCTGAGTTCACAGGAAGGTTTGCCTGACTCAGACTTTGCAGGTCATCACTGCTTTATGGACATTTGTCCCATTGTAGCTGTTCCTGTGTGAAGCGCGCTATGATTGGATGTTCATTGTTGTAATGTTTTCTTTCTTCTGAAACCACAGCAGGATGTTGTTATGAGCGGAGGTTTGGTTAAGTCGAGAACTGTGAAGTTTTCTCATGTGTGATGCATGAACATGACTGAAAAAAACTGAAGTTAAGAACTTTAAAATGCTAAAAATGCATTATTTTAAAATGAGAAGGAAAATATGGAAGATAGCTGAGAATGTCATGTTTGTCCAGCTCAGTTAATTTCATATCCATAACCCATAACATTCAAACAATAATCATGTAGAATAATAATGGAGAGCTTTTATTTCTAGGGTGACTCTTCTTGTACTGATTGTCAGCTGTGTGTTCATCAAATCATTAAACACCAACTTCATGACTTTTGAATGATGTACCTGACAAAAAGCTGATTTACTATCTCTGATCATTGTTTAGTCACGATAGAAAACTTCAGCTTCATGTTTCAGCTCGATATAGAAATGTAAATGTAAAAGGCTCTATAATAAAAATCAATGCAGCTACTGCAGTGTTGTGTGTGCCTGTTTTTTTCACACATCACTGACGGTGTGAACTCTCACGTGACATGTAGAATAAGGTGCTTGATTGGACAGAAGACTCAATTTACCACATTTAGAGGACGGAAAGCAGGGCTATCTCTATATTGTGTAGAGTCCATCAGTATTAACTCATCCATTCATACACTGCCGACAAAGCAGCGGGAGCAACTTGGGGTTAAGTGTCTTTCCCAAGGACACATCGGACATGTAGCTGCAGGAGCTGGGGATTGAACCCTTGACCTTCTGGTTGAGAGACAAAGACGACTCTACCACTGAGCCACAGCCTTCATCAGCATCACATTTCCACTGTAGGGAACATGACATCGACTCACTGTAATTGTTAACTTAAGATCGGCTCCTTTTTCATATTCAGGACTTGGTTTCAATCTCAGAGAAGAAACAAACATCTGAGTCATCATGTAACAGTTTATTCAGCATGGCAACTGTATCACTACACCAATAGAGTAAACAACAACATTACAGGACAAACACGAGTGAAACAGCAGGAACACAGACACATGTCATAATTAAACTAATAAAACAGTGTAAAGTGACTGGACAGTGGACCGAGGGGAAGTTACTGTGTTAAAGTCTGAAGTGTCACTGTTGTGAGATGTTTGCTTGTGTTGTGTTTAAGGCAGCAGGAATTTTTGAACTCCAGTGACAGACGAATCAAAAGAGGAACTTTCTAAATGAATTCTTCTGATTGTTTTACACGGAGTGACCAGTGACCATTATTGCTCCTACACACACACACACACACACACACACACACACACACACACACACACACACACACACACACACACACACACACACACACACACACACACACACACACACACACACACACACACAGAGCTGGTTTCTAACATTATTACACAAATAAACAGACGTAAATATTAAACTAGGTGGTAAGGCTTGTGGGGGAGCAGGTTTGATGTTGTGTGTATAAAGGCTTCAGGTGGAGGTTTTAGTAAAGTTTAGTAAAGGTCCTTTAAAGATTTAAACAGTGTTATACAAACTGATGCTACAGCTGGCGTTTGTCCGGGGACACCGGGCGTTTGTTAGAGAGGTAACATGAGGTGTGAATGCTCTCACAGTGACGGCTGATCTGAGGTCAGTATGAAGCACCTGCTCGAGTATAAACCGTTCAAAGTGCTTTACTCTGTAAGTGATGTTAAATATAAACACAGTTTCAAACATGAGACTATATTCAGATGTTTTAATGTTTAGATTACATTTAATGTGGTGTTGTTTTTAGGGTCAGACTTTTATAAAGGTGGATAAAAAAAACTGAAGAGAGACTTCCTGTTTTCTGTGTTTCAGGTCTGTAGATCGTTTTAGTCGACAAAAACTAGAAGAACTGATGATCTGAAGAGCAGAGAGGTACCATCAGTCACACACACAGGATGAACACTGTCACCAGATCTGCTCAGGAGTGGCTGTTACCGTAAAACTTCAAATTATAGCCCGGGCGTTTGTTGACTTCAGTCTATGTACTGTCAATGTCAATACATGACCGGCCTTTCATTATCTTCAATCAAAACTCAGGCTTAGCAGAGGTAGGAAAGACTACAAAATGTCCACCTGGAAGAATATCTAACTGTGTACACGAGTAGGATATTAACAAAACAAATACAAATCTCTATTTTGATGTTTCTTTTGAAGAGAGCACAGCTGGTTCACCATTATTCTGTCTCTCTTGGACAGATGTTGAAGCACATCTTTACTTTTTGTGTCTTTCTGCTTTTTCTCCTTATTTTTGATTATTTAAACACTGAATGTAGATAGGGGCGTCTAACTGAGAGCTGCTTTTATGTGTGAAAACGTGCAGCATCACCAGGCCTGTAGAAGGGACCGGGCCTTGAAATGGAACAGGCTTTTCTTTGGAGTTTTACGGTAGTCTGAATCGATGGCTCGACCAGGAAGTAGGCAGAGTGTAACGTCACAAATGGCAGGTTTTACATGAACATACACAAGATGAAACCAGGACTTCAGGAGGAAGATGATACTTCATTGAGGGAGAGTTGGGGGGCGGCCGGAGGAGGAGGGGGGGTCTTTAGAGGTCACGTAGGACCTCAAGCACAGTGGCCAGGGACCAGGCCTGGGTCTCACAGCTGAAGGGGCAGAACTGGCCGTTCTCATTGGTCAGCTCAGGAAGACCTTTCCATGGAGACCTGAGGAGGAGAAACACAACGACTCAGTGTGTGTTGGTTGGCTTTTCTGAACATTTAGGATGATGAATGGATGATTTAAAGACAAATGATGAGTCAGCCTCCGTACCTCTCCAGGTGGGTGTAATGTCGGGACAGAACGTTTTTCACCAGAGTCATCGTCCTGCTGTACTTCTCCTCTCCCAGCTTCTTAGCAAAGTAGAGTTTAGCACGCAGGAAGTAACCTACAGGCCACAGCCACTCCTACACACACACACACACACACACACACACACACACACACACACACACAGACACAGACACAGACACACACACACACACACACACACACACACACACACACACACACACACACACACACACACAAAGAAAGTTACTAATGCAGTTAAGATTGCTACATCAAAAATTGATCACACACTAGGAAGCATAATTGATTAGCCCTCACATCCAGACACACTAACACTTTCTCTTTGCTCAATCTGTCACAGAGTGTCGGACACACAACACCTTAGCTACCTGTTCTGATTTTTGAAATTGACACACATGTAATCCTCTGTCTGATGATGCCAAACAGACTGATGGCAAAGTGTGTATGATTAGAAAATAAAAGGTGATAAAGCGTCACACTCACTGGTCCCTGGTGGTAGTTGAAGCCTTTTGCCAGGTTGTAGTTCTCATTGTCCAGAGCATTGTCATAGACACCACAGTACACCATGTCACTATGACAATAGAAAAAATGTGTCAGTATGAACCAAACTGGAGATTTATATGAAATCATATGTAAAGAGTTTGTGTTTGTTACTCTGGGTCCAGTGTCTTCATCCCAAGTGGTCCCAGTAGTTTCTGCTCAGCCACCTCCAGAGCTTTCCATGCCTTCTCTACTGTGAACAGCTCTGGAGCCTGAGACACAGACAAGCCAATCACAGCTCAGAGATGACAGGCAGGAAGAAGTGTGAACCAATAAAGTGACAGTTTGTCTGTGTGCTTACCACCACCATGGCGATGGTGAAGTTGGGTCTGAGCTGGTAGTCACACCAGGGGCTGGAGGCTCCGTAGCTGTCCTTGTAGATGCCTCTCTTGTGAACCAGGTCAGGGCACTTCTCTTTGGGGTCATTAGGGTCAACAGAGACCCAGAAAGAGGCTTCAAAGGCCTGCTGGAGCTGCTGGTTCCACTGAGAGTACGAGACAAGCACTTCTTTACCTGCAAGGAAAAGGGATTCATTCAGGACGAGAGGAGACAAAACCTCAGTGTGTGAGTGTGAGTGTGAGTGTGAGTGTGAGTGTGAGTGTGAGTGTGTGTGTGTGTGTGTGTGTGTGTGTGTGTGTGTGTGTGTGTGTGTGTGTGTGTGTGTGTGTGTGTGTGTGTGCAGTACCATCTCTGAGCACTTTGGCTCCATCATAAGGGAACAGTCCTTTAGCGCGGAGCTCCACCACCCAGCGAACAGCTGACTTACTGAGACCGACGATCTCCACGGCCGCTCCATCTCTACACACACAAACAAGTAACTTCATATTATTTATAATTGTATTCATTGTGTTTTATATATGTTGATCACTATTTAATATAAAAACTTCAAAACAGTCCAAAAGTAACATTTGATCAATGCTGCTAAACTAACCAAAGAGCTAACATTGGATCATGAGGTGTTACAGAGTACAGTGAGGGCAGAATTATTAGGAAGTCTAAAAATAGATTGCTGCCGCTAATAGCACCAAAAAATTGCACGTCAGTTGCTTCCTCTATTTGCTCCGTCTCGAGGTCTAATTCTCAAAGCATCTAGTGCTAATGATAGCAAATACAAACACCCGCAAAACAGTTGTCCTGCCTCGTGCAGCTTGCTCTTGTTTTGTGTCTGAATGTGCAGAGAGCTGCGATCTAAACTCTGACTCTGAGCTCCTGTGCTGATGGACATCAGTTCTTCTTCTTCACCTCCAGCTCTCAGCAGGGGGGATTTCTTCACTAACTGCACATTGATATAACTTGTGGATGAAATGATTTTTTGAACTGAGGCTGATTTGCATAGAAAACAGCAATTTCCCCCCCAAATGTCTACATAATGAACCACAAACAGCACTGGTGTACAGAGACGCTTATTAGCAGTACATCTCAAATCCTGTGTGTTTTTGTTTTGTGTCTCTTTACTCGTTTGCACAGGCTGGGTGAGTGTTAAAGGTGAACAATCCTTTTTGTGAATCAGCCCTAAGAATGAAAACCTCTGACTGTGTTTTTACCTAGGAGTAGCAGGCATGCCTTTGTTTCTGGCTCTCTCGCTCTCGCCCATCTTGTCCATCCAGGTTCCACAGTTAAAGCGGTTTCCTCCACTCACAAATCCTGTAGCTGGGTCTACTTTAGCCGTCACATTAAACCCTGAGGATAAAGGGGGAGGGGAGATCACACACACTGTGTATTGACAGACTTCAACGATGTGATTATATTAGGATCAGATAGAAAGTGATGTGTTCATTCATGACTCTCTTGTAAATGATCATTCAGTGATAAACATGTGAAGTCACACCTTCGTCTTTCATGTGCATGTCTATCTTGGGTCCAGCATTTCTCTCTCTGAAGGAAATCCCCTCCAGGTGGCGCTGCAGAGCCTCCTGGATCACATCATACAGAGGCTGCTCCTACACACACACACACACACACACACACACACACACACACACACACACACACACACACACACACACACACACACACACACACACACACACACACACACACACACACACACACACACACACACACACACACACACACACACACACACACACACAGGATGAAGGAGAGGATGAAGGAGAGGATGAAGGAGAAGAACATTACAAACTGTATGACAGCCAGTGATCGCATCACGAGCAGGTGTGTGTGTGTGTGTGTGTGCTCGCGTACGCACCATCTCTCCAGGTTTGCAGGGCTCACAGTCATCCGTCGGGTACATGCGTGTGACAGGGCAGCGAAGGATTTCAATGCCGTGAGGAACGTGGGTAGCATAGTCCTGAGCAGGAAGTACGGATAAGGAGTAAGCATGACTTCTTTAATGTGACTGCAGGTAACATCAGTCACACCTCACACACCCTGAACACAAACGGTTGAAACTCCTCCCCTCAGGTCAGTGTCACAGAGCTGTCACTCTGATGAATGCTGAACAATCACAGAGTGTCAGAACTGTTCCTCCTGCAAACACCATCCCCTGATCTGTCATTAACCAATGAGCACCCTCTTTGAATCTACAGGAAAAACTATCCACCTCATGTTTATAAATCCATATGTTACCTAACTACATTATTTGAGTCTGACAATAAACAACACGTTGGGTTTACAGCTTGCTGATCACTGAAGTGTTCACTCTGCATCCCCTCCCACTCTGCATCCCCCTCCCTCACATGCTGCCTGTGTGTACCTGGACGCACTGCAGCCACCACCACACAGCATCGCGACAGTTGTACCGAGCGCAGCGTCCTTCACCCAGCAGGTTGGGAATTAATCCGTGACGCAGCGTCCCTGCAAAGGCCAGGATGATGTTGCTATGGAGACCAAGAGACAGAGACAAGTCACGCTAGGATTTTTCAGACTGATGCTGTCTGATGGATAATTATATTATGAAAGCATGAATACTAAGACCTACAGACACACACACACACACACACACACACACACACACACACACACACACACACACACACACACACACACACACACACACACACACACACACACACACACACACACACACACACACACCGAGCTTCAATGTGTCTCCCTGTGAGCAGCAGGAGTCCTCTGAGAGCGATGAAGGTGTCTCTTCCCCAACAACGGAAGATTCCAGACGAGAAATGAGGAAGACCTGAAGAATATTTAAATATTTAAATATCTGAAATATTGATTTTCATGAAATCGATCTCGCACTCTTGAAGATTAAAGACGAATAACTAATCCTTAAAGGTATTACAAGCGAGACAAACACTTGTTACCTGCAGCCAGTGAGACGCAGCACTGCTCCTTCTGGCCTGTGATTGGACTGATGCGGTAGGGAACGTCTTCCAGTTTGGTAGAGAGGGGCGGCAGGGCGGGGAAACGTCCCACGCCACACATCTGAACTGAACCCAGAGCCAGGTGACGCACAAAGGTCGAGCCATTCTGGACAAAACTTTTTAGAGGAGACAGGAGATTGTTTTATTTTGAAAGAAATCAGCTCATCATCAGTTTGAAGTATTAATTTCAGCCTTCAGACTCCACGATACCTGGACATGAGCTTGTTGGTGGCGTCCAGGGCCGTGGTGTAGGTGGACACCAAGATGGCGTCAAAGTAACAGGGGACAAGGTAACGAGGGATGTGCTTCAAGTAGCTAAACATGGCCACCAACCACTGACCCACCTGTACAGAAACACACACAGCGTTACTAATCGGCTTAACGATCAGGATTTAGGACTACTGGTGCCGGGTGTATTTCAGATCTGACCTGGGCCAGCGGTCCCTCTTTGTGGATCAGTCTGTTGGACACGTAGTCGATCAGCCAGTCTCCCTCTCTCAGGTTAGCGCACACAGGATGGCCCAGGTCGTTGTTGGGACGGATATCGGCGAATACTGACATCAGACCTGCAAACACACACAGACACACTCATAATCATCAACATCATAATCATCATCATCATCATCATCATCATCACCACCATCATCACCATCATCACCATCACCATCACCACCATCACCATCACCATCATCATCATCATCACCATCACCATCACCTTCACCATGATCATCACCGTGTTTATCCAGCTCTGCATGGGTCTGTAAACCTTTCTGTGTTCTAACCTCTCTCCATTTTTCAAAAGCATCTCCAATATTGATCCTAGTTTGAGCACGTTTCTGCTCGTGGAGCTTATTAGAAACATGCAGAGGCTTTTTAGGTCGGGTACAATCACTTCTATCTGAACCACTTCTGTTGACCACTTCCATCGCTGCAACACCTGTTGGTTTGACCTGATAACTGCTCTCATATCTGACAAACAGAGGGAGTCTGTAGTCATGTATGATCCTGTGCTTGATGTTTAACTTTGTTTTAAAGAATGATTGTTTGAATCCTGTACTGTTCTGTCTGTTTTATTGTTGTGCTTGCTGAGTTCTGTTCTTTACTGTTGTTGAGTCTTATGTATTTTAAAGGACCAGTTAGCGTCGGCATTTCAGATCAGCTTAGATTATAAATGCTGTAGTTTGTGGTATTGGTTCCCTTTACAAATACACATTAAATAAATACACAAATAATGGAAATAAGCTTTTGCTTTATAATATTACTCAAATCCAACGTGTACTCCACACAGAAAGGACCTTACAGCCCCTGTGTACACATGATGGATTAGAAATCACAGTCTGTGTAACTGCAGTATATAACATACCTTGCAGTCCAGCATATTTGAAGCTCTCCCAGCCCGGGATGCTGTAACAGCCTCCGCCATCTTCTTGCTCTTCAGTGTCACAGCGGAACAGCAGCACGTTCAGGTCGGCTAGCGTCAGCTTAGACATCAGCCTGACAAACACACACAGATCCAACGTTAACACTTTAAGGGTGTAACAAAAATAAATCCTTCCTCATACTCATAGAGAAGCTGTCAGAATAATAAAATATCCTGCTTCAGTATAAACGTACCACATGTTTTAATATCAAGTTAATCAGCATCTTCTGTGACCGTATGTATGTGCACAAAAGAGTCCAGCCTGTTCAACTAATGGAACAGGACTGCATGTTTTTTAAACTGCATCCTTCCAAAGCTTTACTTTGATGAGTCAATAGATCATTCACAGTTTAAAGGAGTTCTGCACAGATTTATTTAGTCATCTCACCTGAAGGCCCCACAGCCTGTTGGGAGTTTATAAAAATCATCCTTCTCATTGCTTCCCTCCTTGCTTTTCTATATTTCTTTCTAACCCTCACTAGAACTATCTTTAACGTGTGTTCAACGTGTCCTCACTGTGAGAGTGGTTTCTGCAGGGCCTCAGGTGGGTTGTCCTCGGCCACACTGCCTCTCTTGTATTTGGGGCTGAACTGGGACAGATAATACCTCAGCATCCCCACCACCTTCTGAGCCTTGGGGTCCAAACTCACCCTGAGAAGAGGAGAGGGAGCAAAAAGTAAGACTGATGTCATCAATGTGCTTTTATGAGTGTGTGTGTGTGTGTGTGTGTGTGTGTGTGTGTGTGTGTGTGTGTGTGTGTGTGTGTGTGTGTACATGTGTGTTAGAGTGTGTGTGTGTGTGTGTACATGTGTGTTAGAGTGTGTGTGTGTGTGTGTTAGAGTGTGTGTGTGTGTGTGTGTGTGTGTGTGTGTGTGTGTGTGTGTGTGTACATGTGTGTTAGAGTGTGTGTGTGTGTGTGTGTGTGTGTGTGTGTGTGTGTGTGTTTATTACCTGAAGGCGATGACACTGCCGGGCGTCAGCTTCTGGAAAGTGATTTCCTCCACAAACTCTGATGGACCTTTAGACGTCACTCCAGACTTCTTCACCAGAACACTTTGTTCTAACTACACACAGATACACATTATTGATGTTATCCAGATATTCAATAATGAACACAACGATCCTGCTCAGTGACACGTCGTCATATTTACTGGTATGTGCTCTCTGATTTCCACGGTGTACTCTGGCATGCCGTTGATGTATCTGTCATCTCTCTTATAACTCCCAGCATGCCTTTCTACCGTCCTCGCCTCCAGCACCACTTCCTCTATCTTTCCTGCAGAGACAAACAGCTTTAACAAATAGTTAAACAAATACATGCAGACTTCAAAGATGACACATCAAACATAAAGGTGATATTATAGAGATATTGGGTATTATTATTATATACCAGGTATGAACATGGGTGGTACGTTGGAGTCGTACTGGTGGGTTTTGGGGTCCCAGAAAGCGGTCCTGCACACAGCCACGACCGACTGGTGAGTGCTGGGACAGTGACGAGTTATAGCAACGATATCTGCATCCACCTGGTCCACATACACCTGCAGAAGGAGAGACGATTAAACCACTGATAAAACATCTTCAGCAGTCACAGATAGTCCAGACTTTCAGTCACAGAGTCCCTGATGGTACCTGAATGAATCCCTGTGCAGCCAGCTCCTGGTGCATCTTGTTCAGGGCCTGTTTCCCAGATATGATGCCAGTCTGCAGCCCCACCTCTGAGATGGAGGTGGGGGACGCAGAGGGGTTCCACTTGGGGTAAAAACGCTCCTCCTTCACTACAGATATCTGCAAACAAAGCCACTGGTTAATAAAGGGATTTTATCTGTTTGAATGTATGTATGCAGTAAGTATCCATGTACCAACTATGGAAGCTGTGACTACAATGTAATGTGACTACAACTATGGAAGCTGTAAATGATTGTATTGAGGCTGGCTGCAGAAGCACAGGAAGTCACATACACACCCATTCAAAAAGGCCAGAAACAAACACGTTTACAGTCTGGTCTATTGTCACATATTATGGGGTGGGTGAATTTTTTTTAATAACTCATCCGTTTTGACTTTATGAAGGATAAGAGTTATTCATGAGAAAGGGGCGTGGCTGAGCTGACTGACAGGCGGTAACAGTGTATCTGTTTGTCAGGAGGCTTAAGACCCGCCTCAGCTCTCAGCCTGGTGCTAGGATGAGACACTATTTCACATACGGTGGACGCCATCCATAGCCTTAAAGTCCCCTTCAGTAACCATCGGGTGACATCACTGAGACTACGTCCATGTTTATATTCAGTTTATGGTTGTTATATATAAGACCATGTTTGGAGTAAGTCGTTTCTTTTCTCCCCCCCAAACAAACATTTGTTACTGTTAAACTCTGTGAATCTATATAACATATAAGTGTAGTGTGTGTGTGTGTGTGTGTGTGTGTGTGTGTGTGTGTGTGTGTGTGAGCAAATGGAAACAACCTGGTGTGGCACTAGTTCATCGTATCCTCTGGTGGATCCGGTGGCACAACAGGCCATGGAGACCATGGCAGAGCTGGGGAGGGAGTCCAGGGCTGAACGCAGCTGAGTGACGGACAGAGAGGTCAAAGTTAAAGTTTCTGTTTCCTTCTAAATCACAGAGCGGTTATCCGGCTGTAAACAAAGACCCTCATACCCCGACAGAGACCTACCTGTATGGGACACTCGTTGTCATGGGTTACATCCAGGAACATGGCGTGAGCGATGGAGGGCATCAGTGGGCGGAGACTGGGCTGGACAAACGCGCCGACCGGCTCGCCTCCATACCGATGCACCAGGCGACCTTCTTCATGGCTGTCAGCAGCTGACATGGCCTCTGCGCATGGAGGGGGGAGAGTTAAAGGAAAGTTCAGTTATTTCAAAAAAGAGAGGGGGGGGGTTCATGCTCAATGTGCATGCTTTAGTTAATACATTAGGTGCACAAAGCTCACAGCCAGGACAGGAACCACATCAAACGATTTTATTTATATGTGATATTTAACCAGAATCTTTTCCTTTTATCTGCTAACGTTTTAAGATTATGATGTGAGTATGTGTTTGTACTCCTGGATACACAGAAAGGTGACAATAGATGAAAACAACTGGAATCAATGCCAATCAATGCCAGGTAGACTTCATGACAGGAAGTGCTGAACAACACCCGACTAACACACTTCATCTAAGACTTTTTAGTATTAAATATTTTACTGTTACTACATGAACGTCCAGCATCGACACAAACCTGGCACTTTAGAGCCCCTTAAACCATCATGCAGCTGATCACATTTACATTCTCAAACTCAAGCATGATTTTCTGCTGTGTAAGGATAATCTAAAGTTTGAATAGAAACTTGGAAAGTCTGAGTAAATGTGGGCAGATAGATAGAGGACTGACTTTCTTTCATGAATGCAGACACCTTGCAGACTAACATCATAGTTGACTTGATAGCCATCTACTTTTTATCAGTTCACATGGTGCATGTACATTTCTTGCTCACATGTGTTTTGTAATATGGTCTCAGGTTCTGACTAATAAAAATATACATCTGTAGAACGCTCAGGGTATAAGATCGTAAATGATTCATCCGTTCACTCACCATGTGTAAAACTTATAACAGGATCTGCCGACCTTGTTGTCTATGCTTCTAATCCACAGATTGTATAAAATATGGACGTAATCTCAGTGATATCACCCACTGGTCTCTGGTGTGGTTCTGAAGCCTAACAATGGTAGCTGCCATTTTGGAAATGCTGTCTCAACCAAACTTTTGGTGGAGCTGAGGTGGGCTTTAAGTGTCATGAAAAACAACTACATCATCACGCTTAGCAGTCCCATCAGGGTCATGCAACTTATTATGAACAGGTCATATCCTTTCATCAAATCAAAACAGAGTTATAGAAACATTTTACAGTACAGTGTGTGCCCATAAAGACAAACACTGTTGATAAACACTGTTTTATCAAGTGTGGACGCAGCCTTAGTCAGTGTGTTTTCAATTATTTTCATCATGTGATTGGGTCTCATATCAGATTTCTTTACATTCACTATCAGTTGTTTTTTAATACAACTTTCATCACAACTGATCATTTAATTGCCATCACCACTTTTCAATGTAGCTAACTTTTGTTTTGAGCCTACATGTACTTCAGTTCAATGGACTCCTTCACACAGGCAGAATCCAAAGAAAGTCCTGGAGCACATGAATCACTTGTTATACATATATTAACGTGCAAAGGACCTACATTAAACTATTTTTAATGTATCTAAGAGCACTGAGCACTGATCTGTGGAGGAGCTGAGGAGCTACTTTGATTATATGTGTTTCTATTATTGCTTTATTGGTACCATGTCTTTGTATTTCACTCTTATACACTCAACTATTTAAATTCAGCATTTGTTTGATGCTCTGTGGTGTAGCTCTTATTTCACTGTTCTGTTATATTGGAGCAGTCTGGGACTTGAATTTCCTGCAGGATCAATACATTCATTATCTTATCTAATCACCCATCTGAGTGTGCTGCATGCACACAGGCTACATACATCCTTACCTGTAGATCCTAACAGTCCTGTCCACCAACAGTCATGGTGATGAGTGAACTGTTTAGAAATGTGTGTGTGTAGTTTGTGTGTCAGTGACTGTACCTCGGATGAGTGATGAGATGCCTAGCTTGGTAACAAAGACGTTATCCAGCTCCTCGCTGCCAGTGAAGAGCTCAGCCACCACATACAGGTTAGGACAAACTGTTCTGGCCACATCCAGCATGTACTGGTCAGCCACAGCAAGGCAGCACACAGAAACCAGTCCAGACAGCACAACGGGTCAGGATGAGAGAGATAAGTGAGGGGAGTGGGGGGGGGGGGGGGGGGGGGGGGGGTGATGGAGAAGGAATAAGACAGACAGAAAGAGGGGAGGAGTTATGTGGAGGAGAGAAACAGTTAGTGGTAACCACAGCATGCAGTCACACCGGCCAAGAGAGAAAGAGAGACGGGGGGGAGGGGGGGGGGGGGTTGCAGATGATGCAGTGAAAAGGAGAGAAAGAGACAAAAAACATAGAGTCAGTCCATGCCTGATAGTTGTACCTCGTATCAAGCTGCTTATTCCCAGCCGGTTCACAAACACATTGTCAACCAGCTCGCTGCCTGTAAACAGCTCAGCAATCACAAACAGATTGGGTCTGACCCGCCGGGCTGCGTCTAACATGGCCTGGACGAGACGGACAGCAGCACACACACACAGGGAGAGAACCAGAGTCACGCTCATATACAAGAAGGAATCCAAACCTTTTAGACTTTTTACTGACACTCATGTCTGTGGTCTGATACACCCGCAGGTCAAAAGCACTGTTTTCATTTAGTTGTAAATTTGATGAATCAAAAGTGAAAGTTAGATATTTTGATCCGGTTTCGCCTTCATCAGATCAAGAGCAAAAAAGCTCCAGCAACACTCTCCATGCACTTCAGGAGTTGGTGAAGTTCTGCCCAGCAAACTTTACTCTGATGCTTTATGAGACGGGAGAGCTGAAGAGAGACAGGAAGTGCTGAGAGGAGGAGCAGGTCGCTGCAGCTGGGACTACAGCCTCTGTTCATGGGGCGTCTGACAGAACCGCTAGGCTGTCCTTGTTAAAACAAAATAAAAATCTGTTCTCCCTGAAAAATAGAATGAATCAAGTATAATAAAAATGCATAAAGACTTGGTGATGGTCTTTTCTTTGACGACACTTTACCAGTTGAATTTAACGTTTTGCTTCTTTAACTCAACTGAAACAACGATGAACGACTTATAGGATATTAAAAAACTCTTACAAATAGGATATGGTAAAGTATATCAGCTGGTGTCTGTTTCTTGTTTGGGTCACACATATGCAATAAAAATATGAATATAACTAATATGCAGCTGAATTCCTCATTAATAGTCCTGCCTTGCTGCGCTGTGTCAGTGTCAGTGATTGTACAAAGACCCTCAAAAAGATCCTGTTGTTGAGCATGACCTTCTATTGTAGGTGTAGGTCAGGCCTGAACCTGAGCATCATGACATTACCTCGGCTACATGCAGAGGTGTAGAGTGGCAGTTATCCAGCCTGACTCCATGGAAGTACTTGGCAGTTATCTCGGTGTATTTCTGCATGTGTGCCCACAGGTACGGGCAGTCCTCAGGACCCTGACCATACCGCAGCTTCACACTGTCTCCCCAGCAGACCAGCTCCGACGCAGGTACACGTTGGAGCCTGAAGGTGGAACATGCACAGGGGTCACTATGTCATCAGGGCACCCGGTTCAAACTCTGACGTCTGTAGAGTTTTAATGTGTGTACCTGGCTCGGCAAAGTTACGCAGCGGATCGTCCCCATGACCCAGCCGTTGTGAGCCAGGAAGTGACACGCCTTGCCCGGCTGGTCCAGCAGCTGCATCTCCTGCTCCAGAGCCATGTCCTGAAATGGGAAGGTGAAATACCTGAGACAGACAGGTGAGAATACAGAGGTTAGATAAACCTGAGGTACCGGTTTGACCAGAAAGCTGCAGGAAAAGGAACTGAAAAAAAGACTTTTGTGGCATAGATCGTTTTTTTGCCTTCCTTGATTTGGACTCAGGTCAAGATTTGTTTTTGTGTTTTTTTGCCTTTATTTGATTGGAGAGTGGATAGAGGAGAAAACGTGACAGAGTGGGGAATGACATGCCGGGAAAGGAGCCAAAGGCAGGACTTGAACCAGGGCCTCCTACATGGGGGTGGGACCTAACCGCTAGGCCATCTGCTCCCCATCACTCTCTTTCAAACTCCAAGGCTCATCTGACATAAAACAGTTATTTTAAACTGCAGAACACCAGAGTTACTTTCCCCGTCTGGTATTTTTTGTGATTATCAAGAAATAAATTGTGTTGGTTCCAAAAGAACCATCAAAACAACAAAGTCAGACGACGTAAAAAGACTACTTACGTCAATGGATCGCTGTCTTCAAACCACCTAACTCCATTGTACTCGGAGAACACAGAAGTGGATGTTCTGCTGCTCCATCAGTTAGTTTGACTGTTTGACTTTGGTGTTTATTGAGATCAATCACAGTATTGGTGTAATACCAAACATCTGAACAATCAAGGCAGAGGTAAAAAGCAAAAGCAGATTCCATTTTTTGTGGAGCACATCTACTGTTTTTGTGAATGGAGTCAGGTGATTTGAAGAAAAAAAAAATCCTCCCCCTCTTGAACAAAAAGGTTGATCTTTTCTGGATCCTCAGGAACCACTTAGAGCAACAATCAGAGCCTGTCTGAATCACTCTGAGGGGATGTCCTTAAAGGTTACTTTGCAGGAGGTTTGACTGCTGCAGGCTTAAGTCATCTACCGGAGCAATTCCAAAACTGTTGTCCCATTTAGTCTTAAAGACCCTGTGATATACTTAAAAAAACAGGTTTATGAACACTGAATGTGAGGGTGTTACCTGGTAACCAGAGGGTTCTTCCTGGTTACAGGGCCCAGTTTGGGGCCATGGTCCTCCAGACGCTCATACACGATGTTTCCCACAATGCAGTTGGCAGCCTTTAGAAGAAGAGAAGAGCACTGTGAATATACAAACTACACTTTGTTGTCATGTTGTTTTACTTTATGAATAGATAACAAAGCTGTGCTATAAATGACAGGAGGAAACTTAAATACATCAATATCTCCTCTGAGAGCCAACCAGTGTCAGGTCCACCACACTCGGCTGGTGGGGTCAGCAGCAGTAACCCTGCCATCTGCGCTCACCTTCTCCTGATGCTGCTTCATGATCTCATGCTGCTCCTCGTTCAGCGCGTTCAACTTCTCTCTCAGCCAACCACAGCAATCCTCGACGTGCTGAGGGGAAGGGCTGTACATAGAGAGGGGTAACATGAAGCCAAAAGACAACCACTCTCCATACAGCACATACAGTACATATAGGGTGGACTGTACTGTATATACATGCAGACTGAAATAGTTTAGAGGATCTCTAACTGTGGGTGTCTGGTTCACACTCGTCTCTTTGAGTTTACAATGATGGACATCTTCTGTGTTCTGTGTTTGTTCTCACTTTTCTAGTTTTTCATCGTCGGCTGATATCCTGAGATCTTAAAGCTGGCACTTATATATTGCACTGATTCTGTTCAATAAATGTTCGATTTGGTCCAAAGCAGGACAGGGAGACCCCATACAGTCCAACCTTTCGTATATATGATATTCTTACATCATATCCTGTTATTCAATCTCCTTAATGTGTGCATGAAGAAATCACCTCGAGCAGCACTTGAACAGAATTTGATTAGCTACAAGAAACGTCAGTCATCGGCACAGATGCTTTGCAATTGGCCAGTACAGAACAGAGGCCGGCGCCTCCTTTCAACTCAGACTCTCATTGGCTATGAAGCCGACCACCGAGCGGTCTGCTTCGGTTCAGTACGGTTTGGTACGATCAGTAGTGTACCCTTACTTGGTAGGCGGGATGTAAGGTAGATGGGGATAGCTGCATCAGCTACGTAATAGCATGACATCATAGCAGGTGCCCTTTAGGGTCGGATCATTACTCTCGGCATCCCAACAGAAGGGTAGCAAAAAAGAAGGATGGTAAGGGTCAGTTATTTTTGGTACCCTTCCCAACTGTTGACAGTGGATTTTCTAATAAATGCGTACTGTACCAAACGGGACCGCTTGGTGGAAGTGGCGCTTTATAGGCTGGGAACATTGAATGGAAGGTCCTAATTGGCCAAATCAGATGTCAATGAAGAGGTCAGAATGAGACCGACATTTTGATCTGTCACAGTCAAAACAAAATACAGAAAATACAGTGTTTGCAGAACTGAAGCAGTCTGTGGATCTTTATGGATGAAATGTGTTTGGATTCAATCTTTATCTGGATCTGGATCATGGGGACCCTTGCAGATGCAGCAAGACCGTTTTGTTTAAATATAATGATCGGTAGAGTACAGTCATTCTTGGTGATGGTGAGTCAAAAGACTCACTTCTGATCTTCTTCTTCTGAAGAAATAGAGACTGGCCTGTTTTTTTAAAATTTCTATGAGCTGATAATGAAAACTTTGACAAACGCCGAGCAGGTACTTTGTTAGTCTTACCTGTGAGGTACAAAAGTCTCCAGAGCCGAGTCCATGTCCACGGTGTTTCCATAGCGACGGTAGTTTGGGTCTTGGATGATCCTGAGGCCCTTCTCTCCTCCAGTCTTAGCCAGGTTAGGTCTGCTGCCTAAAAACACACAAACAGAGAGCTAATGTCTCGGAACGAGCACACTAACAGCTTCAGGTCTATTTGAACCCCTCATTAGCATGTTCATTTAGCAGCTAAAGTTAACGTAGTTAGTACGCACCTTTCTGCAGCAGAGCCCTGAACTGATCCACAGCACCGTCCACCCGGACCTGGAAGAACTCCCACAGCTTGATCTGAGGAAAGACCTCCTGCCACAGCACACTGCGGACGGCCTGACACACACACACACACACACACACACACACACACACACACACACACACACACACACACACACACACACACACACACACACACACACACACACACACACACACACACACACACACACACACACACACACACACAGATATTCTAATAAAGTTTCTTCTGCACACATTTCCTGCCTACACTATGAGCTGGAAGAATGCCCGATCAATATGATATCAAAACTCAGCCGAGAGCTCAACAGTGGTGCTCAGATCAAACTGACTGACTCTGATTTGTGTTTTCTTACATTCAGATGGCTCTCGTTGGTAATGTTAGCAGGAAGTCCTTTAGCCTCGTAGCGTCCTTCTGCCATTCTGGTGGTGAGATGCCAGATGGCTCTGTCTAACACCCAGGCCGGTCTGAGGTGGGGCGAGTTCACCAGGTTGTAGCCACACTCGGGATGATCCTTGATCCACACGCTGTTAGCAGCTGTAGAGAAATGTAAAATCATCATCATCATCATTCATGAATCAAACAACTGAATGAATCGATGAATACATTATCCTTCAACAGCCTCAGTTTGGATTAAATGGTCATAACAGACGAGGTAAACTACCAGGTTTGTGTTAACAGCTATTTATTCATTCAAATAAGTCTCAAATATCCAGTTATCAGGACAAAACTCTGAGGATCTGTTGATTTATATCGACCACACATAGCGGTGTGTGTAGTTAAGAAGAGAAAAGCTGAATTTAAAGATCTTCTTCAGATTGATGAAGTGTAACACACTACAATAACCTACAAATGTGTCCCTAGTCCGTCTACAACCCCCCAATTATGAGAAAAGTCCATCCTCTCTGTCTTCTGTCTGCTCCACTTTTCAGAAAATGTGTGCTCAAACAGGCCGTTTGGAGATTTTCCCTTCATGACATCACAAAGGGCCCCTTCCCCAGGTGGGTGACACTCCCACAGCTAGGTGTTTGTTCTGCCCTCTGAGTCTGCCTTCTCACCTTAAACAATAGGACATGGAGCGAGAAAGACAGAGTACACCCAAGTCCTTCCAGAGAGGGGGCGTGGTCAGACACAGCTTATTTACATATTTAAAGCTACAGACACAGTAGTTTACGTTTTTGACCCACACAATTCCTCAACACATCTGAACATTTCAGCTTAATTGAACAACCCTGATGGGAAAAACAAAAACATGATTTTATTTATAATATTGGCAAAAATAAGATGTACCAGCATTTAGCTATCAGGACATTTCCTCTGACATTTTCCTGTGAACCTAAATAAGAGCAGATGTTTTAGGAGGCTTCATTGAAAATTAATTTCAAGTCAATTTCCTGTCAGTAAGAATTGATTATTTTAAGGATTGTTGAGATTAACAGAAAGACAGACTAGGTTAGACAGACAGAATATAAAAAACTCAGTCCATCTTTAACCTTTAAATATGGCTCATTTTACAGACCTCAATGACCTGTACTGACCTGTACTGACCTGTACTGACCTGTACTGATCTGTATTTGACCTGTACTGATCTGTACTGATCTATACTGACCTGTACTGATCTGTACTGACCTATACTGATCTGTACTGATCTATACTGACCTGTACTGATCTGTACTGACCTGTACTGAACTTAATGAAATGTACTGATCTGTACTGACCTATACTGATCTGTACTGATCTATACTGATCTATACTGATCTGTATTGACCTGTACTGACCTGTACTGATCTGTACTGATCTGTACTGACCTGTACTGACCTGTACTGATCTATACTGACCTGTACTGACCTGTACTGACCTGTACTGATCTATACTGACCTGTACTGACCTGTACTGAACTTAATAAAATGTACTGATCTGTACTGACCTGTACTGACCTGTACTGAACTTAATAAAATGTACTGATCTGTACTGATCTGTACTGACCTGTACTGACCTGTACTGACCTGTACTGATCTGTACTGACCTGTACTGATCTATACTGACCTGTACTGACCTGTACTGACCTGTACTGACCTGTACTGACCTGTACTGACCTGTACTGAACTTAATAAAATGTACTGATCTGTACTGATCTGTACTGACCTGTACTGACCTGTACTGAACTTAATAAAATGTACTGATCTGTACTGATCTGTACTGACCTGTACTGACCTGTACTGAACTTAATAAAATGTACTGACCTGTACTGAACTTAATAAAATGTACTGACCTGTACTGAACTTAATAAAATGTACTGATCTGTACTGACCTGTACTGATCTGTACTGACCTGTACTGACCTGTACTGACTTTCCTGTGGGGTGGGTTTGGAGTACAGAATGTTATTTCTTAATACCCAAACTGTACATTGACCCCCTTTACATATTTGGAGATTTAAATGCTGATATTTACTGTTAACACATTGATTCTTATTTGTCAGTCAGTCACATTTTTTGAACGTGTTTCTGATATTTCTCTGTAAGTCGTCTCGTTCACAGATGTTACCGATCCACTCAGTGTGCTTTACTCCCTCATTGTTATTATTCTCACTCGGCCTTTCTGTTCAAGTGAGCCCTGCTACGCATTTAGCATGCTGCTCACTCACACTCACACACCACATACTTCACAATGTGTGTGTGTGTGTGTGTGTGTGTGTGTGTGTGTGTGTGTGTGTGTGTGTGTGTGTGTGTGTGTGTGTGTGTGTGCGTGTCTTATGAAAGAGAAACCACACTAGTTATTTGTCAAAAACAATGAAGTTATGAAGTCATGAATCTGTGTCAGGGTCTTGCCCTGACACAGATCCCCCCCCCCCCCAAAAAAAAAAAGACTTCCTCCATGAGAACAACTTGTTCTCATGGAGAACTGCTAAAGTACAGGAAATTTAGAAGAGGGGCTTTTAGCCCTGATCATTTCATATTGGTCAAGTACCTACAGTACTTTCTTTAAACTCTCTTTAAACATAATTTGATTTAAACTGCAAAAAAAGAAAAAGAAAAAAACAAACAAACAGGTCTTTCAAACCAGACGTTGAAGACAGAAGATGAGGAGTGCTAAAACAACAACCAAGAGAATGATCCCGGCCCTGACAGATAACCTCCTGTAAACACACCGCTAACACAGAGAGAAGTGAGTGAACTCTGTGGAGGCGGAGTCTGTGGACTCCCTACCCTGTTCATCAGACTTTTAACTGTACATTTAATATGCAAACACTGGTACATATACTGTGTAAACAAGGTGATCAATAACAATATCTACTGTGTGTGTGTGTGTGTGTGTGTGTGTGTGTGTGTGTGTGTGTGTGTGTGTGTGTGTGTGTGTGTGTGTGTGTGTGTGTGTGTGTGTGTGTGTATATATATATATATATATCATGTGTTGTAAGTGCCCTTCATCTGTACTCACACACGATAACAGACTTAATGTGTGTGTACTCACCGGTGTGGTTATACACCACGTCTGTAATACACAGCATGTTCCAGTCTTTCTTCAGCTTCTCCACCAGAGCCCCCACATCCGCCCAGCTGTAGTTCTGACCCGGAGAGCTGAACTCGGGGTTAAAGGTCAGCTGGTCTGCCAGCGAGTAACAGGACCTGGATTCTCCCAGAGTCTGCAGGGGGGTGAAGTGGATCATGTTGTATCCTGTGACAGAAGACACACACACACACACACACGCACACACACACACACACACACTGTTACTGTGCCAGAACGTCATACTTTTTCACATTACTAAAAAATGACAATAACATGCATAGTGTGAGCGCCACGCAGGCTGCACACCTGACTCCTTGGCGACCCTCAGTCTGTCTGGCCAGTCGTCCATGTATCCCAGACATTTGGACAGGTAGGTCTGGATGGTGATGCAGTCTAAAGGGAGCACATGAAGGTCAGGTCCAACTCGAAGGACCGGGTCAACAACGATGTATCCACTTCCTGAACGCTCTGTGTCGCTGCAGAGAAAAATAAACGAGACAATATGATCACCTGAACAGAATCAAAATGACTCCTATACAAAGAAATCAAGTTTGACTTTCTCAGCAGTGGAACCGCCTGCCTCCTCACATCAGATTGAATAACTCATTCCATCAGAGCATGGATCAGACATCACTTTTGACCCTTTGAAAGCAGTTCAAGTGTTTCTGTTTTGGAATAAGACTTTTCAATATTTAATGCTGTCGAGTTTTGTCCCGTGTAATCATGACTCGTTGACGACCTCGCTCGTTGCTTGTTTTGCTGGTTAGCTGTTTATGCCTTTCAGGTGTCAGGATGGTCGTGGTGGATTGGGAGCACCTGGGCCAGGTGGTGCTCAAAATCCATAAGAGAAGGCCCTAACTGGGGGAGACAGGGGAGAAACAGATGGGAGAGGGGCTGCTCCCTGATGCTCCTTGTTACTTTTTTAAACATTTATTTATTTATTTTCTTATGTGTGAATAAATGTGAACTTGTTTTTTAGAGTCACATTTATTTGTCACTGGTTGTGAGCTGCCCGTGACATCATCATTTACATTCCTCTTACTATCAGCTCTGGATGTTTGAAATGTGCCAAACAAAAACATTTTCCACTATAATGAGGAAGAATACGTTTGTAAGTGGATCTTTAATGAGACTGTTTTTATAAAACCTCTGGTTAAAAGGTCAAGAATGAGTTTGTTTAGTTCATTTACAGTGAAGTATGATAAGTGAACTGTCAACAGTCCTTCAGTCAGCACAGACAGTCTACAAACATCCAAGATAAAACCTGATGTCACTCTGTCTGGAGTCACTTATCCTGTAGACCAATCAAGAGGACTGTCTCTTACCCGTATCCAAAGTAGTACTCGTAGGAGCCGGCCACCTGCAGGTCCAGAGAGCAGAACTTGTCAGAGTCATCCTCCCTTCCTGTCGGGTAGTTCCACGGTAACACTCGGAAGTTGTGTCGTTCAAAGCGCTGACCATCCAGAGGATAGTTGGTGTGCAGCGTCACCCTCCTGCCCTGAAGACTCGGACCCAGACGGAACTGGAGCTCAAAACCTGACGGGACGCAGAAACGTTTGCTTTGTTGTTTCAGCATGTGGTCATGTCATCTCAAAAGCAGCTCTGCAGGCTGAACCATCAGGTGCATGGTGAGCGTAAATACTCGCTCGCCCCCCTCCATCCACACACTGACCTTTTATAGACTCAACATCAGCACAGAGTCTTCAACAGACTGAAATAAACAAAAGGGATAGGCTACACATCCAGTCACTCAGAGGAGGATTAGCTGAAGAGAAATGTCAGACTTTGTGTAGCCTTGACGAGCACAGGGTCGTCTATATTTAGTCCAGTTTAACAGCCAGTCCACAAAGTCCCTATCAGGTTCACTGTGCTGTAAATGTCAAACTGTACACTTCTCCCTAAGACAACGAGCTACTTCACCTTCATCCAACACACACACACACACACACACCAGTGTTGTGTGAGCGTGTCAGCTTAACTTCTGAAATCAAATATTAGCACTTAACCCACTGGAACATGATTCTTTTGTTCATGCTCAACCCAATCAATCGATCTGAAGTGGAGTTATTTCAAACTTGCAGGAAGGTGTGGGAACATATAGCTTCTGAATAATTTATGTTTAGAATATTTCCTTGTATTTTTTTCCCCATTGCCTCTTCTGTTTTAAATTTAAAAAAGTTGACACTGTAAAATGTACTAAGAATGGACAACACCTCGCCTCAAGTGAAGCCAAAGGATTTTGAGCTCCCCCTGAAAAGCACTGAATAGCTGCAGTGTCTGTCACAAACCCTGCCCCCTCCATGTTACCAGATGAGACATGGCTTCATCTACAACAGGAGATAAGATGACAGACTTCAGTGACGACGTGATCTAACACTTTGTTTCATCATGACGTCTGCTGATGATTCTCTACAGCTCTGTTAACTATCAGTGAAAGAACTGCAGACTCAAGTGAACAAACTGAAGATGTTTGTTATTAACACACAGATCCCAGTTATGAAATGTCCGCCTGATCAATGCGCTGCATGTTAGCTCTGATGAACCCGTCGGAGGACTTACTGCTCTGACTTCAAAACTTTTTAGAGATAAAGAAAAGGAGGATCGTTCATGTTGCAGGTACGTCTTTAATTCTCAGACTAAACTTTCCCCTGTGTGTGCTCAGGTTTGGTGTGTGGAAACATCCGGATTAGTGTGCAAAGTGCAACCATAGTTGTCTGAGTGGTCCTGTGTTTGAATAAATACTTCCAGAAAATGTCAATAAAACAGGCTGAGAGCTGGTTTAACTTCACCCTAATGTATGAAACTCTGTATTTTAAAGTCCAGAAAGACTCCCTCACTCATTAAGGTGTGAAATTAAAGAAAAGGTTTTACCTTGCTCCAGTCTGAACAGAGTTCTCTCTAAGTTTTGCTTGTCGTTCAGCATCAGGACTCGGATCTGCTTCAGGTGCTGAGGCAACATCATGGGAAGATCTCCTCAAAGTGAACTGAAGTCTGGCCTCCTGCAAACAGGACAAAGAACAGCTGACTGACTGAATCCTTTTTTATACTCTCACTGAGACACACAAACAATTTCCTCATTTCACATCGGGCACCACATCCATTAACCAAGAGGAAATGCTTGCACTATGGAGCGGTATGTTGGCACTGAACCTCAACTGGCATTGTGTTCAGATGAGCCTCGGGTTGACCTGAGCCTAACAAACGCTCACAGCAATGTCTGAGTGACAGCTGTGAGGGATTACAAGTCTACAGACTGAAATCAGGCAGGAAATTCAACCTTTATCTGTCATATCTCTGCAATAACTTTCAGACTCAACATGCAGGAGCTGAGTCAGTGACCAGGGTGAACCCTCATGAATAGATTCTTATTCACTCATTTATTTTGTTGGTGATTCTTACTGACTAAATATCAAATGCAATGCAATGCTTCCTGCCCCAATTCTTCAAGTTTCAACTTGATGCGACTGAAATGTAAACGAGCCGGAAAGGAAGGCCCTTCAGCTCTGAGGTAACACGCACGGTTTGCAAACGCTGCAACAGAAGTTGTGTCATAATAAAGTAGGCTGCACACAAACCTATGAAGGCTTGACTGAAACTTCTGCTAATATTACATGTCAACAACATAAAAACACAACATGCATGGACAAAAGATCACCTTTAACAGGCTCATCTAATCACTGCCATACATGATTAACAGTTTGGCAGACTCAGCCTCAATAAGTGTTTTTGACGATGAGTTTGTTGACACACATGTTCTGTAATCTGAGGTTTTCATAGCATGAGGAAGGACATGAAGTTTGTACCTAAGGGCCAAACAGATGATGCAGCTAAAAAAAACTGATTTCAACACAAACTCTGTTAAAGAAGAGACAACAGGAGCGTGTCTGGCACCATTGATGATCCAGGTCCAGGCACTCAGGATGGTTTGAAAAGTAGAAAAGGACTTTAATTCATCAGGCTACAAACATCTAAAATAAACCAACGGCTTGGTCAGGGTGCAGTGACACACTGACACGAAGATTGTTGCTGCAGCGACCACAGGTTGATCTCACCGACATGCTGAAGTATTTCAGATTTTAAGTTGTGTCATTTAAAGACACTTTTTTACAATACATGACTGATGAAGTCATCTTTTATCTTCTCTCTTCTGTTTGCAGTTTGTGACTGTGTAAAGGTACTGATGTAAACGCTGCCTTATTTACCAGCAGTTATAGCTGGAAGAGCCACAACAAAATGATAAACCCTTGCACTTCACAAAGGGAAACCCAGACCTCTGAAATTTGCATGTGAAACACTTTTCACTTTTACAGTCTGACACACCGGCAGTCGGTTAGCGTCAGTCGGTACAGCAGGCGGTAAAACATGAAGGACAATGAGACTGTTTCAAATTCAGACTACGAGATGAAAAACATTCTCCATGAGTAAGTTAGCACAGTTTATTAATAAAGCACTTTTCACAGACGTGAATCACAAAGTGCCTTAATTAATCCTGTGAGGGGAAATTCAATTTAACACACACACACACACACACACACACACACACACACGCACACGCACACGCACACGCACAAAGAGGATCTTTGTTCATGCATTGATGAAGAGATGTCAGAGTGAGGTGGCTGAACACAGTGAGCGAACTGGCACCTCCAGCTATATACCGGATTTATTTCCAGATTAGATTATACACACCGAGACTTGAACCTGTGACCCTCTGGTTCCCAACATGCGATCAAGAAATTTTGAATTTGAATTTCAACTATGATTTTGTCTTCCCACGATCATGAAAACAAGATAATCAAGATTAAACGATTACTGTGCCGCATGAGCACATGGCTGCAAAGTTTGTTCTTGTTTTGTCATGTGTGGTTTCACAGCATTTGTTGTTTTTAGAGTTCATCACCCCTACCAAGGAGAACTTATATTTATCATTTTTCACTCATCTATTTTCATTGATTGCTCGTTTTTCAACCTTAAAGTGTTTCAGTTTGATAAATGCATGTGATCCAGATGTTGTAAAATCAATGAGTAATCATGTTTAATAATTGTGATCTGAATCAAATTAATTTTCTTTGC